CATCGAATTGATGAGCTAATTTCTCTCACTCAACTCTGTTTGAAAACCAACACATTTTGTTTTCCCAAATAATATTACAAGCACTGAGGGATAGCCAGGGAAGCCCCTCAGTCCCATCCTGGCGATACTAATGCATTATTAGGAATCAAAATTGTTTGAAATTTTAACTTCCTGCATGGTTACGCTACGTAGACGATCCTTTTACCCTGTTGAGGTTAAAAGATGTTTAAACAGAGTCTTTGAACATGCTCTTGATCCTGCTATCAGTTCACTTGAACTGAGACTTGCAATTCTCTTCCTTTTCTCCCATTCTGGTCCACGTACGATCAACTTCATACAGTTTCCGTAACCTTCATCGGTTGCCTTCCACCACACTAAATCATGTATCGACTAAACAAAATTTGCTTCATGTTTCCTTGTTTCCACTCTGTAAAGCTCTCCAAACAGCCCTGCGAAGAACATTATTAAAAGCAGTTAAAGAAATTCTTTCTCCCAACTAAAAGCCACACTTGTTAGGAGTAAAAAATTCTATTTTGGTTGTCTTCCCTTCTTTCCTTCAATTAGCATAAAGTCGCACTATTTTGCAGAAATTTAACTTCGGGGTTGTTTACTCCCATCAATAAAATTCCAACTTCTATACTAAGGACCCCATTCCGGATATGAATTCCTGGGGTATTTATAGGATTCCTTGCCGTGCGGTTTAATTACATGGCCAAAAGAGAGCTTGAAATTTGCGTCAAGAACTGAGGATATGTAAAAAAGGAAACAGAAGTCTTCTGTGTCACATGTTGGTCCGAAAATCACACTTTCAATTTTTGCTGCCCAAAATATTCCAAAAAAACCATCTCCCATTGGAGAACTGGATTTTCTAGAGGCATTTCACTTATAAAATCTTTGTTCTAGTTACCGATATAATTCCCTCACTTGCCTTCGGCTTTTAGAATTATGTTTTGTTTGATTTCGCAACAGAGGCGCACTTGCTTATTTTGTCCAGGCTCTTTATCTAAACATTATTCCTATCTGTTCTTTGCGGTTTTGCCGCTGACGCTGCGGTCGGTTAAACCTCGCACTCGTCCTGTGCCTTTTGTAATTACGTGTGATTTTGTTGTTTGACTTGACTTAGTTTCTGGGCGTGTTATTGTGTCTTAATTAAGTTAATGTTGCAAACAGTAGTGCCTTCTGTAATTATTTATGTTAATTAAATACAGTTGAACATAAAATTGCACTTCCACACTTATGTTAGTGCCAGAAAAATGCAAATTTGGGAATGGACAATGTGGTGCATAATGGACGCATCTTGGAATTCTGGTCTGTAGTGTTAAAGTGAATGTAGTTTCTGAGAGGGATCAGTATTCAGTAGTTATGGCTCAAGGGCATTATTTAAGTGAAGGTCAAAAGTGGTGAATAATCGGTAGACTTGAGGAAGATCAAACAAATGGAGGTTTCCCAAGGTTTGATTATCCCTCAAAGTGTCATATCAAAAGTTCAGAGCCGCTTATCAAGCACTGGAACAGTTGATAGACAGCCTGATCAAGGGTTACCAAGAGCAACAACTGCATCTTAAGACCGTTTTCAATCATTCTCGACTTGAATAAACCATAAAGCAACTTTTAAAAGATTTGGTTTTAGACCTGCAGGCTGCTGCAGGGACTCAAATCTGCTGCTGCACAAAAGCTTAACAAGTTTGGACTGTATGCGAGAAAACCAATGGTTTGTATCCTACTCATTTCAGCTTCCAAAGCGGCACATTTAATCTTGTGCTGCTGTCATGTTTAATAGTGCCAAGACAACTGGGCCCGAGTTACCGATGAGTCCAGATATGGTTTAAACAGTGATTCTAGATGTGTTTTGATCTGGAGAGAGGAGGGAATATGCAACTTGCCTTCCCTTATCCAGGAAATATCCCGTTTCTGTGGCCATGGTTTAATGGTTAGGGAAGGAATCATGACAAATGGCCGAGCTGCATATCTTTCGAGGAGGTTCTGTAATTGCTCAGAGAAGTATATTGGAACCCAAAGTTTAGGGGTATTGTTGGCCTGTGTTTTTGCTAATGGATGACAATGCTCGGCCTCATAGAGTAGATGTGGTGTCAGAAGACTTGCAAATAGAAGATATCACTCGAATGAAGTAGGCACTTTACTCATGACTTGAATCCAATTGTGGAATGCCTTAAGGCACTGAATTTCAGCATGCCTTACTCCTTGCCAGACGGTGCTGAAAAGCACACTTTTAGAAGAGTGGCATGCAGTTCCACAAGACCTGATCTTCAGTAAAGTTTATCAAATCAAGATGTGAGATATGCATATCTGTTCTGAGGCGACCATACAGGATATTAAAGAAAAAAATTTTCCACAAGAATAGAAATTTCTTTTCCATCATGATCCAATTTCCATGTGAATAATCAACTGTCAAACATTGTGATTCATGTTAACTAATGCTATTGTACAAATAATATTGATAATTTTTCATTAGATATCAGTTACACTTTATATTTGTCATTATCCTTTAATTTTGATGACTAGTGTGTGGGGAAAGTAAATGAAAGTATTGATAGGTATTTATTTTTCTTCTGCACCCAACATACAAGTTTTTGAACAGGATTAAAGAAACTGATATTTGCAGAGTTAAAAGATAATTTGAAGTAGGATAATAAGCAGAGTTTTAAATAGAATTTCAGCTAGAGACTTTAGAGTGAAGTGATTAAGCAGAATAAAAGTTCAGAGTAAAGCAGTCAGTGATGTAACCCCCCCCCCCCCGAAGAAAAAAAACTGTATTACACAAAAGCCACCAATTGCTACATCGTCTGCAAATTAGCTAGGGAATAAATTCAATTAAAAAAATAAAAAATTGCAGGAAATGAGGATATTATCCGAGTTTGTAGCTATCCTGTTTATAAGATTTGTTAATACCGTAAAAAGAAAAATTGCTTTTCTGTAATGTGTACTAAGAGAATAATATGGAGCATGAGTCACATAATAATAATGGATATGTTCTAGGATCTGTAAAGATAAGAGTCATTTATTTAAAGGAGGAACAGAAATAATTTGAAAAACTGAAATTAAACATGTTTAAATTCTTATATTAAGTTGGATACTGATGATCAATGTAATGTATTGCCATTGCCTAAATTTAAACAATTAAGATAATTGACTGAATCAAAAATCATATTAAATAATTACTATAGTTCCACTTGATATAATTGGAAAATGTTCGTATGTGAATCATTTAAAGGTGATAAAAAAGAAACAAATTTTCAATTAAAACGTATAATATTATTCTTGCTTAGTTTCATCTACATTCCAAAAATTAAATTAAAGCTAGTGCAAAGGATATATACAGTAAATCTTGTGTCAAGGAAAAGTTACCAAAATCTTTAAATAGCTATCAAACTGGCTATAGCTATCATGTTAAATTAAACTGGAAGCTGTTCGTAAAATAGAACACTGCAGGAAAATTCCATATAATTTTTTAAATCCTTTAAAAAAGGAACTGGCAAGAATGGAAAAGGGGAGTGTTATGAAGAAAGTTAATCAACCTAGAGAATTCGTGATTTCATAAGTTGTGTTTGTTTTTAAGATATACTTAGATCATCAGTATCTTAACTAGAATAGGCTAAAAGAATGTCACATACATTTTCAAAGAAATTTTATCTCTAATATCAAATGTAAAAGTAGTGTTCTTGATGCAAACAAAGCATTTTGGCAAATTAAGTGGTGAGCTCCCTGCATCTTATACTCTATTCGATTATTTTTTAAGAAAGCTATACGGACTCTGTTCATTGCCAGAAGTTTTTCTGAAATTTTTGGTGATATAGAAGGAGTTCATAAATATATAGACAGAGAGAGAGAGGTAACTTATTAGTTTGGGGAAAAGATAAAAGAGAACATCACAAGATAAAGAGACATGTAGAATTGTTCATAAAGAGCAAAGAGTCTGTGCAATCATTTCCTTCACCCTTCTGTTAAAAAATGGACTAGACCTTTTTGAACACTGAACTACAAAAAACTGTTTTGTAATGCACACTGCACAAACGGAGACTAAATGAATGTTGTTGATGTTAGTTTCACGTTCTACCTTTTTTTTTTTTTTTTTTTTTCCATTCTTATAGCTGCAAATAAAATTTTTCATTGTGCAATTCTTTTTTTTCATACATCATGTTTGGATTACCTTTAAAGACATAAGCAGTTTTGAATTCTATTGCATTGTTTGCTTATTGGTGCTTAGTAGTATTCAGGTAGTATACAAATTTTTGACGAGTCCCATCTAAATTTGATTATGGGACTCAGAGCATATTTATTTCATCTGAATGCATCATAAAATAAAGAAGAAAAAGCAACTAGATATAAAAACAGAAAATAAATTTTATCATAGATTGCCCATATTCACATTACACATGAGAAAAATCACCAAAACCAACCAAGCGGCTAATGCATTCACCTGGATTTGAATGCAGGATGAATTACTAGCATTTAGTAGTCATAACCATTTGATCACTTATGGGGTTTAAAGACATTAATGAAAATGAATTTGAGACTAGTAGAAATTCTCCAAATCTAAAGCTGCCTATAAATTTTCCCACCTATAACAGAAGTGTTATGTCATCAAATTATGCAACTAGATGTGACTATGTCTATTTGCAGAATTCTGGTAAGGTGTTTAAAAGACAGTTATTTAAAAGAGAATGTTTAGTCATTTTATTTCTGTTAAAAAAGGAGGATATCGTGTGTATGTGGTTTATCTTGTAATTTACACCTGTAATTTACATTAAACATTTAAAGTAGTATAGAATAGATAATAGTAGTGCATATTAAACAATATTAATTAATATTATATAATCATCTTTTTCCATCCTAATATCTCTTAAATATGTTACAGTTTCTGCAAAACTCTTTTTTTTGGGGGGGAAGGGGATATTCAAAAACATTTCTTTGTTCAGTGTTATTGATCAATATATTTTTATAAATATTTGTGTATACAAAAACTTTTTGTTAATTTAACAGCTTAGCTGATGTGTCTCTGACAATTGCTGTGGATCGACCTATGGATATGGGTAGAGCATTTGCAGTGGAACAGTGTCGTTGTCCTATTGGGTATAGTGGTTTATCTTGTGAAGATTGTGATGCGGGTTATACTAGATCTGGAGCTGGTCTGTATCTTGGATTATGTGAACCGTGCTTTTGCAATCATCATTCAAGTGATTGTATTCCAGAAACAGGAATATGCAGGGTAAATCTTGGACAATTATTATAACACCTAAAATTTCCATATTATTTTTACATGAAGTATTTATCAATTGAATAATTAATGGCAACTGGTGATTTCTTTCAAATAATATGACTGGTTGATTCACTGCCCAACAGCAGTCTTGTACAACAAATTCATATTGTATCATATAGTACAGTATGATTCAGTTTATATATGAGTAATAGTTTATTGCATTTATTGTATTTCTTTCCAATGAGTACATCAGTATGTTTGGAATAATATTGAATTTTGAGGACCCCCCCCAAAAAAAAACTGTTTTTAAACCAAATAACAGTACATGCACTATCTCCATCAATGTAACAGCTGGGCAGTCAAAACAGAATACTTTTAGAGACATGGTTGACTTCATTGCTTGCATTGTACTTTTGTTGCTCTTTCCTATAAGGACAGCTCCCAGCAAACATGTTTCTATACTTGTGAACAAAACTAGAATCAATGGCAGAGCTTAAACAGGCTGATAAGTACCATCCCCAAGTACCAACTTCTCTGTTAACCAAAGAATGATATCGAAATTGACAAGCATTAGTATTTGTTCGGCATGTTATTGTGTCTTAATGACAAGCATTAGTTTAAAGTTAAATATAAACAAAACTTAAGGTTATTTTCTAATTGAGCTCTGTAGAACTTCAAAATAAAAATTAAATTAATGGGGGAATAAACTGTATACAGAAGTTAAATACACACTATTATTGTTTTTCCAAGCTGTTACTTTTTGGATTAAAATACTTGCCAAACTATATCGCCAAGTATTGAGTGGTTTGGTCGTAAAGTTTATTGCTGAAGAATGAGCCAATTTGTCATTTAATCTGAGAGAAATCATCAGTTGCATCAACCTATTCTTAACCTTTCTGCAAGTTACTGTTATTCATCTTGAAGCATCTACTATCTTTTATATATAACACTATTTCTGAGGAATTTTTTTCACTGATGATGAATTGATGGTGAATTTTGCCTGCGTTTTGGCCTTCATAAGAATAGAATAGTTGTAATATGATATGTTTATTAATAGCATAGATTTTATTAGATATTTTTATACATGTGCTACAGGAACAATTGAGAGAATGAGAAGCTACAAATGGTATAATATAGTGTGCATATATACTTTTGTATATATTAAAACATTTAGCTTCATTTTCATTTTTATTTCTATGCTGTTTGGAACATAGTTAAAAAGTAGCCTTGTAGAGAAGTTTGCTGGAAAGCAGCAAACTTCAGATGTAAGATATTATAATTTGTCAGAAGGGGAAAAAATAGAAAGAAATGAAAATTCTATAAATAACTATTATTAATTTTGTAGAACTGTCAGCATAATACTGGAGGAGACTTCTGTGAAGAATGTTTGCCAGGCTATGTTGGAAATGCAGCTGAGGGGACTCCAAATGATTGCAAACCAGCAATAGGTATGCTTAAAGCATAATTTTTTAATATAACTATCAATTATTACCAAATTTACTATCAATTTTAAACTTATTTTGTTACAGTGTAATTTAAATCTGTAAGTATATAACTTATTAGATTAGATATGCATACTCATTGAAGTGTGTGATGCTTCAGCTGTCTTCTAGTACTTGTTAAAAAATATCCAACAATTATATATTTGCATTGCATAACATGTCCAATAATCTTTTCTAGAATTTTATTTTGTGTACAGTATGCTTATATTGGTTTTTTTTTTTAAATACAACTTTGCTAAATTTTCAGTGATTAAAATTTGTAATGAAAAGTTGAAGCACTCAATTGTTGCATTAATTTTGTACTCATTTCCATTTAAGGTTACAGCAAAATCGTTTTGAAGGATCTGCAATGAAAAAAAAAGCACATTTTACTGTCCTATATAATACTGGAAAAAAATAACTTCCCCTCTTAATGATTACCTATTTCTAATATTAATTTTCATTTTCCGAATTTTAAATGGTGTAAAATATAAAAGAAAATCGCTCTTTTTTCATGATAATAAAAATAATTTCTGCTTTTAACGTAAGTATGACTCATGTATGGAAAATATTTAAAATAATTTCTTTTGATACCTGTGTTTAACTTCTCCTTTCACAAATTTATTTTCAAGTTTAATAATACATGTATTCAATTTTCTTCTCATGGCTAGCTAGATTTTTTAAAACTTTTTAAAATATTTTAGTTATAAAAAGGAAATCACACCAAAGGATGTTTCTTTGTATTAAATAACTAAGACATTTTTTTAAAGTTTTACATGTAAGAGAAGCTTATCAACTTTAAATTTAGATGTAAATTTAGAAAGAATATAGAATAATTTATTATATGTAGTGTCTAAATGTTTATTTTGCGCTTCCTAAATATTTATGTGTAATAACATTTTTTCATTCATTTAAATAACATTTATGATTGGGGTTATGTAGAACACAAGTTTTATAATTTATATTAAATATTTTGATTCTGTATAATATAAATGAATTGTGCATTAAATTTAACTACAGGTTATGCAGTTATGCATAATTTTGTAATTGCTACTTCCCTACTAAGTTTTGTATCAACTATTATGCATAGGCAGATATTACACTTGAAATTTTGATTATGATAAGTGAGAGTAAATACATTTATGTTTTGGAATGGAAATAACATCATGATTTATGTAATTATTCTTTCTTTGAAGGCTTACAAAAGTGCGACTGTGATTCTCGGGGAAGTCTTGGAACAACATGTGACTCTAAAAATAACTGTCCTTGCAAGGTAAAATATGTATTTTCTATTTGCAAGTAAAATACCTTGTATTATATCCAAAACATTTTTTCAAACTTGCTCTTTGTTTTATTATTTGAACAATTTTGTTTTCAGTCAAATGTTCAAGGAAGTAGTTGCAATCAATGTAAAGAAGGTTTTTTCAATCTGGAAACACGAAATCCAGAAGGATGTGCTCCATGTTTCTGTTTTGGAGTTACTCGACAATGCAGTAGTAGTTCTTACTATAGGAATCAGGTAAAAATTTTCTATTTTATTGTATTTGGTTAGGTATGCTTATTGAACAAATTAAGACTTTGAAATTTTATTTCTTATCTAGATACCTAGTTTTAATATCTAAGTATCTATGTTAATTTCATATTTAAGTATTTAAAACTCCTTTGTAAAAGAAAGGGGGGAGTTAAGCAGATGAGAATTAACAGAAATAATTCTACTCTCCTCCTTTTTTTCCCGAATTTTGGGCAATAATTCTTTATTGTTGCTAATTTGAGCTATGTGGACCTCATAAATTGCTTTCATATTTCTATATATTTACCAGGCACTCAGTAATATTGAAGGCAGTTTGGTACTTTCTAATTACCTGCCCCTCTGGTTTCAACATCTAGTAGAACTGACATGTTTTGACAAATTTTTTTAGTATACATACACATGCATTCCACACACATATTTGAGTACATGTGGATTTACATACTTTATGCTTAACGATCATTTTGATGAACAGCTTACACCAACAATAGAAACATAAATTTTTTGCATATTAAATTTCCTCCTCATAAAATATATTTCTTGTAAAATGTTTCTTTTTATTATTATTTATGAAGGAAACAGTAGCTATGAGCCATACAAATTTCCAAACAAAAAATTATCAACCATTGAGTTAGCATAGTAATGTGAATAATCAGAAAGTATTGATATTTATATTTGAGATATTAAATGTTACATAATATTTTTTGTAAAATATGAAATATTTCCATTGTAATTAACAGATAATGTAGAATTGAAAAAGCACTGCATTGTTTTTCTGTGGTGCTTGCAATTAATGCTTGTAATTGCTATGCTGACACTTTCTTTCAGTCAAATGAGATTCTGAATCTTTTCACTATGAAACCACATTTTTGTAGGGCATTAAATGAAGAAATTCTGTGGAGTTAATTATCTACGTTGTATCCATCATCTTGGAAAAAGTATTTAAGCTGTATCGCATAATTGTTGAAAAATGCAATAGTGTTTCCTTCTGGGAAAATTGTGAATTCCATCTGCATTGCTCTTGATTTGTGTGGTTTAACTCAAATGCATTGCTTTCCAAGTAACCTGACAACATCAGAAAAGCTGGAACAACTTATTTGCTCATGCTTTTTCTATGCCTTTTCTTGCTGAGTATTATTTTAGACTAATGTACCATGTTTGCACATTTATTGCTGTGCATTTACCAGGATAAAATTTCCACTTACTGCATATTGAGTTTATGGTACTTTCTGATTATTTGCATCCCCGGCAAAAAAGTCGCAAATTTGTTTGCAGAAATATTTGTTTAAAAGAAATATTAAGAGAAATATTTGTTTGGATAGCTTTATATTTATTTCAACAATGTAGCCAATGCCACCTCTTTTTTTACTTTCTTCTTTACAAGATATGCACACTTCTCAACTTATTATACTGCTGTTTTCCCAATGTACACTGCAATCTACTTGCAGTCATTTCACACAAAAAATAAACTTGGCAATTTATAGACAGTCCCTGCACTAAAATCCTAAAATCAGACATGAAAAAGAAGCATATGATGTCTGTAACAGAGCCACATTACTGTCTATTCATGCAAAAAGCTGAGATTTCACCGAAGATTACAGAAATTGCAGTATACAGTCCATCAGTATGTCACAACACTAAAATTCTAGAGGAGAGAACATGATCTTGAAGTCATACTGCCAAAAATATTCAGAGAATTGGAAGGCAATCTGGGAGGATGCTATGCACATACATGGGTTGCCACATAAATACTTTGAGGCAACATCTTGGGTTGCCTCATAATTATTTTTTGTCAAATGATACATTGTCTCATCAAGACCTTTTTGGAGGTTTTCGGTTGGGGGTGCAGATAATAAAAAATTATCAATATCACTAATACATCAAACATTTTCCTCTCCTCTTTTCTTTCTGAATGTGCTTATTAGATTTTTTTAATATTCAGAATAATATTGTTTTACCATCTATGGCTAGTAAGCTATTTTGTAATTCATAAGTAGTGTGATAGCATTTATGCAAGTACAAAAAAATTTAAAAAGTAAATTTATTCAAAATATTTGCTAACAGAAGAGTTTATTAATGAATTTTTGTAGAGATAGAAAGCCAATTTTATACTTAAAAACTGAATAGGATGTTGTGGATTATTTTAAAAAATTAATTAAACAGATGGGACAATTAAAGCAAAATAGTTTGTTGGCAAATTCTGTTTTGATGCCAGAATTTTAGTTAATTTAGGAGTTTGTCAAGAGTAACTGTTTTTACCTATTTACAGTTCTTTAAATGACTTCTAGAAGTAGAATCACTTAATTAATATAGCTTTATTGAATACACACCATGTCCAAAAAATTCCTTACCCAGCCTTTATTTTCACAACCATTGGTTAGAGACATAACCTTTCAACTGCAAAATATTCTAAGCGACACAATTCCTGTTTTGACTTTTTTTTAATTTACAAGAGTCAGTTTTATAAAATTTTAAGAAATCAAATTTTTTGTATGGTCATCTGGTCCCTGTACTCGTATTTAGAAAAACTGTGTACTCATTATAAGAAATAAAACACAAAAAAATTGACCTCGTACAACAAAAACTGACCAGGTATTTAATTTCAAAGTTTGGAATATTTTGACCTTATTTCCAGTTTGCCTTGAAGGGCTGGTTAAAATAATTTGAGGTTGATTTTTCCCTCATAAATGCAAGTTTGGTGGTATTCTCTTGTGATTTAATAGTGTATAATATTCTTTAATTTGTAACTGTTACAACTGGTGTTCCGGCTTGAATAGACTGAATATGCCTCTGAATGGTAATGTGAAAATCAGTAGAAGCACAGAGAGAAAGCTAAGTGGCAACAGTGCTTAGAGAAGAAAGAAAAGCATTTCTGAGATTTGTTTAGAGAAAACTGTGTCGCAATAGTGTAAACTTTAGAACTTGCTTTCAGTCTGTTTGCTACAGCTTATGCTTCAGATGAGATGTTAAATAGATTCTAGATTAGATTAATTTGTTTTGGTATTCTAATAAATTCCCTTTTAAACTGCACTGAATGTTGATTTTAGATAGGAATACCGCTGAACCACACATGTAGAACACATGTGGCATTTATATTCACCATAGAACTTTATTAAGTATGTTGTACCATTATTGTCCTATTGTGTACCTAGTATGCAGAAAGTGCATTCACACAAGTAGTTTATAAGTTTTTAAACTCTAAAAATAGGTTATTCATGTTCTCATGAAATTTTGTTACTTTAGAATCATTACCAAAATTATGAAAATTTATTAAATTAGAAATATTTTTAATTTAGACAAATAATTTTACAAATGTGCTATGTGTGAATACCAAAGCCTACCAGTGTTTTTTCTATGATATGGATTCCGTGAATAAGATTTCTTTTTTGAAAAAAATAATTGTGCTGTTCAATACAGCAATACATGACATGCTACACAAAATTGCTCACCAGGTAATTTATTACCACCTGAAGCATTTTTATAAACTGATATTTTTAGTTACACCCAAATGCAAAGATGCTCTTCAATTTGTGTATGGTGTCTGAATGTGATCAGAAAATGCAAGATGTAATATTTTGATAAATTTGTCATACAGATATGAAATTTTTTGTGTTTCATAACAAATATAAAATTTTCCTAAGTATTTGAATTAAGAAAATATATAAAAAGTTAGATTTTGTTATTTTTTGTGAAAGTTATCTCTTTTAATTTAAAAGTGCCAGAACATGAATATTTAAATCCTTTGAAATATTTTTGTATCTGGAAGTATAGGTCTATGATCAATGGTTGCAAAAATAAGGACTGGGTAAGGAATTTCTAGGCCACAGTGTTTACTGCTTGTATATTTCCACGTATTTAAATAAACATGTATACTCCTGTGCATTCAGTATCCTAAGAAGAGATGTATGTTTAAGTTGAATTTAGCAAAAAATGCATCACTCTTTCTGGAGAATGCATACTTTTTAAATGATCATCTGAAATAGTTGGGTCAATAAATATATGATTGTTAAGGGTCAATTCAACTATGATTCTTTCTTCTAATAATATAAAAAGATAAATGAAGCCCATGTTTAAGTAATACAAGTCTTATTATTTTTACATACACATATATAAATTCTATTTTAACCAGATTTTCTTTGTAATGTATAATTTTTTGCTTTTTCTCGAGTCTTGAATAAAATTTTCTGTCCTTACAGATTGCTATGAGATTAGAGGACCTTATTGATCCATACAGCCACAATTTCCAACTAACTTCCAGATTCAGAACTCGAACTATAACAGAAGGCATTATTGTTAATCCCAGTCAGAATGAAGTAAGTTTCACCTCATTTCCTCGAGAACCTGAACAAACAGAAACATTATTTTGGTCTTTACCAGCTCAATTTCTAGGCAACAAGGTAAATATATCTCTTTGATATAATATTTTGAATTTTGATATGTTCATGAATTTTTAATAAAATTTAAGAAAATTAAGATTAATTTTATTTATACTTTGGCTTTATTATTCTAAATGTCATATAATACTGAAATATTTTTATAATCAACATAAGGCTCAAATCCTTATTTTTAGATAAATTAAGGACAAAATTCTTTGTACTTTAGGGCAGTATAATGTTAACCATATCTTGCACAAAAGTGGTTGCTATTTTTAAAATTTCTTAATTCAGTTATTTTATTAAAAAATTCACATTGCTTTTCCTTGAGAGTAGTTTAATGCTAATCATACATTATTCTTAACCAATAAAATATTTTTAAAAAATGTTTTCAAATTATTTTCTCTTAGATTGATAGTGATAATTATAAGTGAAAGTGAAATTACAAGGGAAAGAAATATACTATTTTTATATTTAATTAAAATTTTAAAAAATTCAATATGAAAAAATATTAATATTTTGCTTTAACCATTAATTTATTATGGTAGAATTTGGATACTTCCTGAATTGTTAATCCTTTATTAGGAAGAAGAAAAAGGACTATCACATTATCTTCAGTTAAAAATCTACTTCTAGATATGCAATACAGCTGTCATGAATGCCTGCAGTGCATATACATTTTTGCATATAATCAAACAAAACTTTAAATGTCAGAAAATTTGGCATGATGGAAAATGTATGTCTTGTGTTCTCTTAACCGTTTGAGTGCGTTTGTACTTCTTCTGCATTGCTCGAAAAGTGCCAGCACTGTAGGCTGCAAAATGATAATCACGACACACTCGGTTTCATTGATGGGCGACTTTACAGATATCATTCCATAAGGTTCAAATACCTTATGGAATGGTACCTAATCAATATTTTTATATTATTTAAAGATGCTGATATCTGTACTTATGCTCAGAAAGATGTCAGAACAATACTGAATTGAAAGAATTACAACTTACCATATGAGAGCAAAAACAGCGCAATAGCGCTCCTTGGCATTTTTAATCGGAGAATAAGACAAGCGAAAAAGACCTCCTTGGCACTTTTGGATGGGAAAACAGCAAAGACACGTGGAGTTCAAATGATTAAGCTGCTTAACAGTAAGTTCAGCATACTATCTGCTACATGTGTCAAATTTCTATAAATCATACCACTAGCTTGGCAAAATTTGCCACTCACGTGTGGTTATGCATGCACATGAAACTCATGAAACTTCACCAAAATTTTACTATTTTTGGCATGATACTATGTATATATCCTTTGTCTTTTTGTGTGTGTTTGTGCTTGCTAATGTGCTCTTTCATCTATCTAACAATGTATTTAAATTGATTGTAACATTTATACTTTTAAATATATAAACATTCGCGTACACCTCAAATATTATCTTAATTTTTGCTTTCCCATCACATCGTTGTGGAGAAACGTGATGCTATTTTTAAAATGAATATTCTTGTGTCAATACTGAAAACAAATGTTTCTGAAAGAAGGAAAAAGAACATCAGTTTGTAGAAAACCCCTTCAAAGAAATTGTGTGTTCAAGGGATAATATTTGGTGATTCAAATCGTATTTTGCTGAGGTTTGCATTCAGTGCAGAGCACCAAATATTCCAACAAATGGGCCTGTACCAGTGAAAAAACAGAAGAAAATCATAAAGGGCAACTGTATTTGCGCTGAAGGGCTGTATAAATTGTAACTGCACCACTGAACATCGTATTGTATCATAAATGGAGAATTCAAAAATGTCTCAACCAAATTTATTGAAGATTAATGAATTTATCTAAAAACGTATATGGATACTAGCTAAAAATGTTTTCAGTGTTGATGAAACTAGTCTTTTCTTTCATCTCATGCCTTCAAAATTCCTGTTTTCTAAAGATGTTCAATGTCATGAACAAAAGTGCTTCACTATTTTATCCTGCCCAATTACTGATTAAATGGAAAGTGACACCTTTGCTTAGAAGACTATTGCAGAAAACAAGCTGTTTGAAAATATGTTTAAAGCATGGTGTATATATAGCACATAAAAAGGGGACGGTAACTGCAGATATATCTGCAGATGATCTCAAGGAAGTCATCAAGAGATTAAGTTTTTTTTTATTTATTTGTATAAAATTGTCTTCTTTTATGATATTGTATTTGATTTTTATGACTTAAAAATGAAAATTTTGCATTCGTTCAAAAATCCAAGATGGTAAAATTATGTAAAGGGATGGCACAGTACTAAAACTGTGGGCAGTTGTTTGTATACCTATCACTCTAAATTTAAATATAGATAATAAATCTTTCTCATTTATATATATATTTTTGGACGGCATTGATTTATTCATCAACATATTCGAAAAAGGGTATTAACTGTGTTTTATGTTATTTTCTGTTTTGATTCATAAGACAGTTTTCAAAGGTATCGTAATGCCTACTGCATGACAAAAGTATACTTTCAAAAAATGCTTTAGAGTAAATAAAATAAAATTAAAAAAATATGTAAACAAACATGTTTAAATTATATAATGGGAATGAATAAATAGGAAATTTTAAATGGACATTTTGAAGAACTGTAATTTAACCATGTAACTGAAATAATCAAAATGAAATTCTAAAAAGAAAGGAGCAAATCTAGAAATAACAAATGTGATTAAAAAATATATGCAAGAAAGGAAGAACATTGCATTTTTCCCATTTACGGCAAATGAAAGGGAAAGTGAAATAAGTTGCTGTAAACTGAGAAGTTTATGAAATGCATTGTTTTTGGCATAAAGCAGAAAAAGTGCGCCAAGGTGAAGTTTCGAATATGTTGATGAATAAACCAGTGCAAAAATTGTGTATAAAGGAAGTTATGATTCGTATAAATGCACTATTTTTATTGGAATGAATTCGGGTGCAGATGAAATGACATATAAAAAATACATAACTTTCCTGCACTGCATAAGAAATTATTAGTGGGCTTAATTTGAAATAATTTTATTTTATTTTCATGAAAACTTTTACGGCAGCATTTTAGTATTAGAGATCTTGTATCTAAGATTGTATATATTTCAAATTGTTAACCTGAAAAATTAAATACGATACAAATTTTAATTTAAAAATATATTACTACATGTGCAAGATAAATTTTTACAGCTAGCTTCATATGGAGGGAAACTTCATTATACTCAACAATACTTAGCCGGTGATGGGGGAGATCTGTATGCTGATGCGGATGTTGAAATGACTGTAAGTATTTATTTTTATGATTTGTATTTTTCATTAGTTTTTAAAACAAGTTGCCTAATCTAATTTTCTGATATTTCTGTTTAATCAGGTAATTATTTTACTGTTTTAGGGAAATGGAATATCAGTATTTTATGTGAACATTCCCACTTTGAACCCACAGGAAGTACGAACATTTGAAATAGAATTGAGAGAAGTATGTATAGAAGTTTTCTGAATCTTTTATTTATATTTCTGAGTTACAATTAACTGATATTTTGTTTACATGTTAAATTTTAAAGATTTTGCAGTATTGTCAAAAATTAATTATAGGTCACAGAAATTATGTTGTAATCGTGTGTTTTTTAAGAATAAACCTTTCTCAACACAAACTGATTGAATAACTGTATGATTATTAAGGGTTTATTTGTTTTGTTAATTTGACATGCCGATTTATAAATCAAATATTAAAAAAATCTGTATAATAATCCTTTATAATAGTCTGAGACTCTAATATTATTTATATTATATCGTTAATACAATCAAAAGTCATTAATCCGGACTCCTCGGGACTTCGTTGATTCCGGATTATCGATTATTCCGGATTATAGATCATCAGTTTAAATCTGGTTAGATGGCATGCAGAAATTATAAAATTAAAAATATGAAACCGTAATTTATGAAACAATTATGATCTAAAAACAACTGAACAATGATTTAAGAACAATTATGATCTAAAGGGTATCAAAATTTACAAAAAAAAGCTTAATATTTATTTGTTTACTTTATTAAACATTTTCAATGTAAGTTGTTTAAGTTGCTTCGTTTTATGTGATAATACTTTCTCTTTAATTCTATAAACAGACTTAATTTCTTGTTCGGTTACAAAGTTCCGCTGTTCAAGCCCTCTAATTGCTGTGTCGAGAATACCGACTAATTTGTCAATCGAAATTTTTTCGTTTTCAATAACCTCTGTGTCACTTTCTTCACTATCGGAAGCGAATTATAATGACGAGGAATTTGATTTATATCATATCAAAGATGGAGTACATCGAGGTGAAATACTACATTTAGTAAGGAATTATAAGCCAAATAAAATAAAAACATCTGCCCTGAAGATAAGGATAGTGTTGACAGATCAACTTCCAATTAATTGCGTGCCGTGGCGTCCCCCCACCCACGCCGCAGAGCAGCGTGAAATTGATAAACAGATTTCGGAATGGTTAGAGAAACGAAGGATATGCCTTTATTAATTTTTTGCAGCTATTCCACTTTCTGTTTAATGGACTTCAAAATATACTTTCGCTTTGTAGATCCTTTACATATTAGTAAATATATATCGGAAATTCTAGTTGACATAATCGAAAGTTCAAGCTTCCTTTTATAAAATTGCTCTAACAGTCTGCAAAAAATAATAAGCCGGATCCAATTCGAAGATTAAGAAACAACGCAATCTGCAACATTAACTGAATTAGATAATTTTAGCTTAGCTTATACCGTCCGTCATACATTAAACGTGCATACGTAAACGTATTATGCACATGCGCACAGGCATATTCACAGCCGTAAGGGTCTTATGTGCATGCATCAATGCGACGCATGCGCAGACAGTTTGTAGCTTTGAGGTCCGGATTATAGATCATTCCGGATTATGGGTGTCCGAATTAACGACTTTTGACTGTATATGTTACATTTATAATATATATTAGTTTTATATAATAATTGTAATATTATTTTATATAATAATTATTATTTATATAAAATAATAAAATCTATGTAAAATTAGTTAAGTTTACACTTAAATTAAAGACTTAAGTCAAGATCTCAAACGATTTTGAGGGCAAACATTTCCAGGTCTGTCTTTATCAGGAGTAAAAGAAATCTGCAAAACTGGAAAGCAGTGGGCATAACAGTCATACTTATACTCCACAGTAAAGCGAAACGAGAAGGTAGCACTATCTATCGGCAAAAATATTTAAGAAATAAAAAAATTAACTTGATTTTAAAAGCATTAGGAAGGACTGGATTGGGCTTACTCATTAACTAAACAAGATAAATCTTTGTGAATATGAAAAGCCTCAAGAAAATCCAAATCAGCAACTGAAGGAGCTTTTTGAATGATTTTTGCAGACCTAAAGTCAAAATTAGGATTAAATTTTAAATAGTGATTATCTATCAAAGATGTGTTAATCTCAAACCACACTGACACAATATGCTATAAATTCCCCAAGAATTAAGTAAGAAATGGAGTCTTTTAGAGTTGAACTGAGGATTTTATTGGTAGGCAAAAAAAAAAAAAAAAAAAAAAAAAAGATGAAAATTGAATTTCTGAAGAATCCATGCAATTTTGTAACTGACAGAAGGATAAAATGGAAGCATGACAAGATTATTAATGTTATTTCTAATGGCGGAATGTCTTTTTTGATGATTCAGGGTCCTGTACGATCCTTAAGATTCCTTAAAAGTCCTTAGGATTTTTGGTCCTTAAAAATCCTTAATTTCGTTCAAAATTGGCAGAAGGTCCTTAATTGTAATCATCTGATATTTCTATCTGTTTTTACGGCTGCCATTTTGAGTGTGAATTAGCATTTTAGAGGAATATTTTTTGTATTTCACTTATAAATGTGGTTATCTTTTGAATGGGTTCATGGAAATTTGTTCCTATTTCTAATGTAAATGGTAGGATACTGGAATTTCTAAGCAAGAAGTGAAACATAAGCATTTCGAAATTATTTCATTTTTTCTAACAAAGAGCTTTTAAACAACTTTTTGCTTTTGGGAATGTGAATCCTTTTATTAAATGGCTCTAAGTTTTATGACTTATATACATTTTGGCAATTTTAAGATCAGTTTCTAAAGAAAATTTTTAATTCTGAGATCTGGGAATTTTTTGACGATTTTTTAAAACGTTGTAACATTGATCAATTTCATTAAAATAATGGTAATATATTAAAATTATATTTAGAAAGTAATATTAAAATAAAAAAAATATTTTTTGCTGTCATATTATTAAGTTCTATTTTGACCACTTATTACACAATTATTTGAGTTGGAAAAATAAACAAGGTATAATGTTATAAAGCACAATTTACAAAACAGCTCTTAGCAAAAGGAAAATTAGCTATGTAATTAATTAAAAAGTGTCTTCGTTTTAATTTTTTCATGGTAAGAGTTTTTCCCATGTAATTGTCTCAGGATGTTCAGAATTCTCAGAGTATGCATCAGTTTTCTGTATAAAATTAATTTTACACCTTTTTCCCCCTCTGTGTTTTTTTTTTTTTTTTTTTTTTTTTTTTTCCAAAATATTTCTGGCCTTTTTGCTATAAAATTGGTCGGGTATTTTTCTTTAGGTTTTACATGCAGCTTGGCAAATTTAAAAGGATTGAAGGCAGATTATAGACCACGATTCTAGAAGATTCCAAAAATTGTGACAAATGAAAAATACCTCCTGTATTATCATGTAATGTCTTAACATTTGCGATGAAAATTTCTTACTTTTGGAGAAAGTGGAAGAACAATGAAAGCATATTATTTGAATGTTTTTTACTTCTGATACTAGAATTTTTTTCTTAACATGTTCATCTTCCCTTTCTTTTCTCTATATTTCTCTAAACACAAGCATGAAAATATCAAAAATGGTTCTAATCTTATCACATGGACAGACATTAAAGATAAGAATTTTTTTATTTATAAAGAAATTGATAATGGACAGTTTAAAAGATTCATCTAAATATATCTTAATGCATCTTACACAGGGTTGGCGCTAGGCATTTTTCCACCTGATGCAATCTCTATGGATCCTAAATTCTGCATCCAGTGCCTGCTCTAAATTCTAAACGTTTTGCCATTTCTAGATTTGGTTGCTTGGTGTGTCACTAAATTAAAAAAATAAAAAGAAATTACCACGTCAGCTCTGTAAATGGTCCTTACCATATATATTTCATATTTCTTTTGAATGTTCTTATTACTAACAAAATAAAATTAACATAGACTCCAACTACTACGGATTCTCCGTAGTTTCTACGGAAATTCATGAAAAACTACGAGCTACGAAAAGTATGGAAAAAACTACGGATTTTACAGAAACAAGAGCAGAGAACCAGTACGCAAAACGGAACCAACTAATTCATCCAATGATTGGCTGAATACTCGTGTTATCATATTCACGTGTTGAGTGCGTTCCTAGTTTTGAAGAATTAGCCAATCTAGATCAGTAACTCCAACCACCGTTAACGACTTATCAATAGTTCCACCCAATTGTCTGTCTCCCAGGTTCCTCGCTCATGCGTGTTTAGGCTGCATCGGCTGCATGTGTAGTTTACGGCGAGAGCTTAGCATGTGTCTTGTGAACTGTGAATCAGGTGAAAGATTTTTAATCATAATGCTTGCTGCCTTGAACGAAGAAGCCAAAATTATCAAAGCAGAAGTTTAAAGATTCATATTCTTCAGAATATCCATGCATTAAAGCGTCCGAAATTTCTGTGAATCACGCACACTGCAGTGTATGCAACAAAGATTTCTCAGTTGCTCATGGCGGAAAAGATGACTGTAAACGGCATGTGTTTTCTCAAAAGCATATAGAACTTGGCACCGTAAAAATCTAAAGAATAACAAATTCTTAATAAAAGATGATGAAACAGATCCTATAAAAGCCGAAATGCTATTTGTTCGTTTTTAATTGAACATAATCTACCGCTTTCTTTCGGATCATTCCAAAGAGCTTTTCAAAGCAATTTTCCGGATTCTGCCATAGCAAAAATTTAGCTGCGGTCATACCAAAACTGCTGCTATTGTGAAAACTCTTGCAGAAAAACTGTTGCTGATATTATAAAATCAGTGTGCAGTACATCATTTTCTCTAAGTACTGATGGAAGTAATGATAACAATGATAACAAACGTACCCATTGGTTATAACATACTACAGTAAAGAAAAGGGAGTGATAATTACTTCATTGATTTCTATTTAGAATGCACGAATAATACAGGAGAAGGTATTTTTAATTGTATAAATGAAAACTTTAAAACAAAGGTTTAGAATGGAAAAATTGCTTATCATTTTCTTCAATAATGCTAGTAATATGATTGGAAAGTTTAAAGGTGTAGCATCATTTATCAAAATGCATCAACCAAGTATAATCACCCGAGGTTGTCCGTGCCACCTCTTGCATATAGCTGCAAAAAAGGCTACGAAAAATTAATTGGCTCGGAAATTTAAATGTTGATAATAGATATATATTTTTACTTGGAGAAAAGTTCGAAACGGAAGCATAGCTTCAAAGTTGCTCAACAAATTTTGGGACAGATGCAAAATCTCATAAAATTTTGAAATTTGCAGTACAAGATGGTTGTCTCTTTTGAATCTATAACAAGGATTTGGAACAGTGGGATGCTGTGATAAATTTTTTGGAGATAAACCAGATAACAGTGAGAATGAAAGAGATTGCAAACATTAAAAAATTTTACAGTCACCGACCACCAAATTGTACTTGTTATTTTTTGAAAATACTTTGCCTCTTTGCCTTTGTTTATAACAGTAAATATTAATTTGCAACAACAGCTTCTTATATACATAAATTGAGAAGAGAACTTTTTGAACTTTAATGAATTTATTTGTTAGATTCGTAAACCATCAGTAATTTCTAAAGAAAATGAAGATGTTACTCTAACGTCTATTCCATTTCAGAAGTATAGTAAACAAAAAGAAAATGAAAATTTAGTGATTGGTGCGGAAACAAGACTATATTTAAAAAATGCCAAGTTGAATGAAAGTGAAGTGAAATCATTTTTCAATTCTGTGCGAGCTTTTCTTGTAACTGCATGTTCATATATAATTGATAAATTTCCTCTGAGTGATCCATTTCTAAAACATGCTGAAGTTGCTGACATCAACTTGAGAACTGAAGTCTTATTTTCATCTGTTCTTTACTTGATGAATACTTTTCCATCCATTATTGATGAAAAATGTCTTAATCAAGTAGAAATTGAATTTTCCATGTATCAAGTAGATGATTTGAAAGAAATTGTAGATTTGCGTATTGATATAGCATGGGGAGAAATTGCCAAATTAAAAAATATGAATGGGTGTATTAAATACAAAGTATTGCCTTCTGTAATGCTTGCTGTCTTAATAATACCTCATTCAAATGCAGCTTGTGAAAGAATTTTTTCTATTGTTAAAAAAAATCAGACGGAATTTCGACCAAAAAGGTCTTAAAACTCTTGAAGCAGTTTTGATTGAAAAAATAAATATGCAGGCAAATGAAGAACTGTGTTATAAAAAAACATTCTCAAAATCAGAACTTAAGCTTGCTAAGCATGCTACATATAAATCTTTGCATTCATAAATTATGCGTATTTTGTTTAATACTTATATGTATCATTCTTGGTTATTTAAATTTTATTTCCCTGTAGAAATCATATCCAGAATAAAGATATGATTTATAGCTTCTGATTTTTTCTATGATTAGTAGTGATTTGAAGTACTTTTATTAGTGAATGCTTGAGGAGTTAAAAGAAAATTTCTAATTAAATGTGCGTATAATTTACAAGGTATATTTTTAATTATTCAGTTTTATATGTATATGGATTTTAAATGTAATAAAATTGATTACAATTAATTATTAATTTAAAATTAATGAATGGTTAATTACAACATACGCTACGCGCACATTTTCAAAGTTGTAAAAATGTCGTTCGCGCGTTGACTACTGACAAGGTTTGCTGAAGGTTGGAGTCTATGAATTAGCAGCTTTTTCTATGCATTTTAAATGCATTTAGTTTTTTTTAGAATAAAAGAAATCTTTAATTAAATTTTAAAATGCAAAAATGAAAAGAAAACGTGTTGAAGAAAGAAACTGAATAAATAAAGAGAAAGAAAACTATTCATCAAAGATATGTACAGTTATTATTATGTAAATTACTCAGTTGTATATAACTTCAACCATTACTATAATTTCCCATTTCTATTTCCTCAATAGAATGCGAATCACTTAGGCAGTTTTTAAACTGAGGTTTTTCGAGTGTAAGACAGAGTGTGTTTCTGACCTTTGCTTTCTCGTTGCATAACTTGGCATAGAAACATAACTTGGAATCTTGAAAGCATGAAAATATAAAGGAATATAATATTAATAATTATTTCCTTACTAAATGTGGCAAAATGAAGTATTTGAACTCTTTGCTTTTCTGATTTTCTCATGAGGATACTCTGAATATTTGATATCATAAATATTTAAAATATCTGTAAATCAGCTGTTTTATTAAGAAGTTGTTAATTTGTTCTTCCATTAGACAAACTGGCAGCGAGTAGATTCAAGAGGACCAACTTCTGCTACTCGTGAAGATTTCTTGAAAGTTTTGGCAAATGTTGAAGCTTTGCTGATTCGTGCATCTTTTCACAACCGGATGCAACAGACCTTGCTTCGGGATGTAATAATAGACACTGCTGTTCCACAAAGTACTGGCCAAAGACTAGCACCTGAAGTTGAGCAATGTATTTGTCCACCAGGTTATATTGGCTTATCATGTGAAGTGAGTGCTTAAATTTTTTTTTAGTTCCAAATTATTTTCGTAGCTCTGTAAGCTGCATTTTCATTTTGAAATTGAGAAAGTAATTCTTTATGTATTGATCATTAGCCTTGACTTCTTATGATATGTAAACAGGGTATTTTAAAAAGAATCTCGCGATTAATTTTTTTTTTTTTTGAGCAGTTTGTTAACTCTTATTTCTATTTTAAGAAACAAATTATAAAAAGTAGGCATTCAGATAGTGACAAATTTGATGCTGCTGCACATTTTCATTGCAAATTAAGCAAAATTGTAATTTTTCTACAATTATACATGTTGCATGGAAAGTTTCATTTAATAAATTGATCTTCATTTTATTAGAAATTTTTAAAAATTTGCTTTTAATCCACATATGTAGATTAAAAATATTGTCAAAACTATATGAAATAAATGAATTTTTGTGAAGAAAATAAACATTGAAAAGCACTGTATAAAAATTACTTTTAACAAAAATAAATAAATAAAATAAATAATGTAAAGGTTTGGTTTTTTTTCCATGCATGAAAATTGGCCTGTGCATACATATTGCATTTATCGGTGAAAGGTCTTTTTTAGAAATTTATATTAGGAAACTTAGTTGTATATCTCTTTTAGCAGTAATTGTATATAAATATTTTAATGATATCTCAGGTAATTTTGATCATAATAATTTTCTTGTTTGATTAATTTGGCCATTCCAAAGGAGGGGGATGAAGCTCCCTTTTTCTTTTTTGGCAAGTCCCAAATAAAAATTTTAAAATTTTTTTAATATTTTTGCTATGTATGATCAAAATTGTCACAATTTGAAAACTGAACTTTGATGTAATTTCTTAGACTTGAAGAAAAATCTTCAGGAAGCCATTCAAATGATATTTAATCGTGTAATCATTATGGAAAGGCATGCAAAAAAATGTTTTTGGTTATTTTCAAAGTAAACAAAATGATTTTCTCTTCTCTGTGGATTTCATGGGTGTTTCTTTCCTTGTTAAATATTGAGTAATATTGTGAATATCTTGGCAATTTGATAATTTTTAATAAAATTTTTGAACATATTTTGATTTTAAAATGAATTAATTTTGTTTCTGTCACTAAATGGTCACAGTCCAAAAGTGTTTACAAATGATAAATATTTTGGGGGTCCACTAAAATTATATCATATCAGTTACGTCTTAAATTTTTACTGTGTTCGATAAGGAATGACATTTTTCTGTTCTTAGAAATGTAAATCCTCTTTGATATCCTTATTTCTTCAGTATTCCATGCCGACATATATATTTAGAAATTCATAATAATGAATTGTGTTTTGTTTTATAATTTTAAATTGAGTGGGTTGGAAATATTTAAATAAGAACACTATAAATTGCATATTGCTTCTATAGTTGCAATTTTTTATTAGACATTATTTAACTTTGCCATATTTTGTGTCCAGAAATATGCAAATTAAGTTCACAAATATTGATTCTAAATTATGATTTCATTGTGCTAATTTTGTTTTGCTAAAAATTAATGTATATTGTTGGTAAAAAAAATGTAAGTTAAACTCTGCTGTTTGTTTTTAAAAGGAATGTGCACCTGGATACATTCGTGATTCAAGTGGAGCAGGGCTTGGACGATGCACTCGTTGTAATTGCAATGGCCATTCTGAATCATGTGATGCTACTTCAGGACGTTGTGTAGTAAGTGTTATTTATAATTAACATAGTGAAATGATTATTCCTTATTTGCATTTTAATTCTTTGTCTATTTTTGATAGTTAAGGAAGATTTGTCCATTTTTTTTTTCAATTCCTTGTATGTAATTTTTTTCGCAGACACAAATATTTTTTTATCTGTTTCTAGCTGTTTTAGTCTGCTTTTCAAATTTATATATCTGAGTTGTATGATCCTATTAAATAAAAACTGTATGATTTTTATTTAAAAGAATAACTGGAAAAAAGCAATAACAAAATTATTTTCACATGCACAAAAACTCCAGTTTCTCAGAAGTGTATATTTTAGTCTATAGTTATGAATTTTCTAGAAGCTATTTTAAGCTATGACATATGCTTATATGTTTTAAAGCTTAATTTTAAATATCAAGCTTCAAATAATAATAATTTGTTTAATGTCATTTTGAATGTTGAATGTGACTGCCAAACAATAGCTGTCAAAAAATTTAAAAAAAAAAAAAAAAAAAAATGCTAGGCAATTCAAATCGTTTGCTGTTCCTTGTTGAATACCAACTAACATGTACTTTGTATTATATAATATTATATGTTTTTGTTATTCATAGCAAGAACTTTCTCTGTCTTCTGGGCTTGAAAAAAGAGAGATCTATTCACCATTGTATGCTCTTGTGTTAAAAATAAATATATGGGATAAAATACTTATTTTGTAAATAATTTTCATGCTGTTTATTAGAAATATTTTCTATTCTGCTTTCAATACAAATATAGAAATTATTTTAAAATTTCATAACAGCCAATTAACACTAAATTCAATTCATAGAAATTTTCATTCATGTATATCAATTGAGATTAAATCCAGAAAATGTATTTCAAAGAAAAACTTGCTTTTTAAATAAATAATTTAGAAAGATTTATTAATTAAGGAAATCTGTTATTGTAATCTGTGAGAATTCCTTTCTGAAATGTTTTTATGATATAAATTTATAGATATTTATAATTTGACTTAATTCTACATTATTCAGCGCTGTCGGCATAATACTGTAGGTGAAAGCTGTGAACGATGTGCAGATGGTTACTATGGAGATGCAACTCGAGGTACTCCAGAGGACTGCAAGCCATGTCCATGTCCTTTAACAGTTTCTTCAAATCAGTAAGTTTGCTGCATAATTAACATGCTTCCTGATAATCATACAGATGCAAATGATGGGGGTATTATTATTCAATAGCCAATCACCTAGCATGGTAATTGGCAGTGAATGTGTTAAGCAAGTTTCATATTTTTCTTTTGATAAAATGCAGTTCTTAAACATGTTTAATGTGGAACTTTTAATTCAGATTTTTATTTCACCAAAATATGTTAAAGAAGAAGATTTCTTGAAGCTAGCTTCCTTATTTAAGTTTGTTGCCTTAACTCGTGCATTTTTCTTATGTTTTAGATTTTCTCCAACTTGTTTCCTTGATAATGATGGTCAACCCACTTGTAATGCTTGTCCTGCAGGGTACATTGGACGGAATTGTGAAAAGTATGTATTCAAAAATATATGCATTTTATCATTAAAATAATTGATATCTACATAGGAAGTAAAATTTATGTTGTAGGAAATTAGATGACTTAAAATGCATTAAAGTTAAATTTTTAAATTGACTACTCATTGTGTACAAGATGGTTGTAATTAATGGTATGCTATTTATATGTGTAGAGCCCATTCTCATAGACCTATTTTGTTGAAACTTGATGTATATGTTATATGGACCATGGGGAAAACAAAAACTGCAATCAAAAATAATAGTTCACATTTCAACTAGGTGAAATAAGGGCACATGAAGAACACAAAACATAAATGGGAAACACAAAACTTTATTTAATCACAGTATTTGTTCAATGTGCATTCCATTTGCATCAATCACTTGTTCAAGACATAGTGCAGCATATTCAACAATAGCAGGAAAGATATCTCAGTCAGGTTGCAGCAACATTTCTGCTATGCTTGCTTTTATTTCAAGCATAGTCCATATGCTTCCTAATAGACATGATCTTTCAGGAATCCCTACAACCCAAAATGACGGGAATCCAAGTCAGTAGAACTAGTAAGCCAAGCAATCAGAAAAGTTCTCAAAGTTGCCCAAGCTTCTCCAAAGTGGGCACGAAGCACTACATTCGTTGGTCTGGTAAAGTGAGCTGGTATACCATTTTGCATGAAGACAGTAGTTTCTAAGCATTCTCATTTTTGTAAGACTAGAATTATTTGCTGCTGATGAAGTTTGCAGTAACAGGCACCTATAATGGAACACTTTTGAGGGCTTTGAGAAGTGTTCACAAAGAAAAAGGGACCATGAATGAAATTAGCACTAAATCCATACCATACGGTAATGTGTTTTGTATTTGTGTTAATTGGCTTCCTGGTGGTGACTATTGTACTTGAAATTAAGATTTATACTTCTCCATCTTAGCTGTGTTGGAGATTGTATTGTTTATTATCGTAATTTATTATTGATTCTGATATATCAAAAGAGAAGAACTTATATTTGTATCTTTTGTGTGTTGTTTACTGCGTCTAAACACTGCTATTACATTTGTATTATAGATTCAAAATTTCTGTCTTTTAAAACAATTAATGTCAAATTATAAAATTGTTTTTACAGCTCAGGGAGGCATACAACCAATGTTCTATGTAAGCTTTGAACACCTCTCACTATTCTGTAGATCTGTTGGAATAGCTATTATGTAATTTTTCCTGACATTGTAAATTCTTAGACTACACTGTTATAATAATTTGATTCTGTTTATATTTGCATTTAGAATCACTGAGAACTAGCGTCTCAGTGATTAAATCGACACTGGTCCTTCCAACGGTCTGGATAGTTTACTTGAAAATGGTGTAGAAAGCTCCTTATTATTAAACTGGGAATTCCTTAATACATTTTTGATTTTGTCCTTCTGGAGGTTTCAGTGTATTTGTGCTTGAGCACTTGTTTTGACTATGTTTTGTGATGTCTTGTGTAAATGTTTGTTTGTCTTGGTTGCATAATTGTGTTTTTCTTTTCTTGCTTTTACTCCTTTTCTATTATTGTTTTCTACTAACCATGCTTATGCAGCTTACATTTTCTTTTCTTCTTTTGTATGATTGTTTATCAGCTTTGCGACCATTTGTATTCTTAGTTTTATTTGATTTTGTTTTAGTTTTTCTACTAACCCTTTTTAGTTGCCCGGACCCTCTCAGCTCCTCGGCGTGTATTTTAAAAATTATCAAACTTTATATTTATCTTTTTTGGGGGGCACGGTCGGATCGCTGGAGGCCATCGTTTGTGGTTTGAAGGAAGAGGTACCATTAAGCCATAAGGCAGTTGTGTCAGGTGGGCGGTCCTTTTCTATTGCTCTTACCATACGGTAATGTAATCAGACTGCAGGAAACCATTCATGTTCAACACTAGAATTGCAGTACCCCATATGTGACAGTTTGGGGTATTAATTGCACTGTCTAGTGTAAAATGGGACCTGTCTGACCACAAAATGTTCCAAGACCATGCTTTAATGATGGCTATTCTGGCCAAAAGGAGGCTATGTTTTTTCTTCCTGTTTGCACTGTGCAGCTCTTGCAGAGCATAATCTTATATGGATGCCACTTTACAAAGGACCTCAGAACCTTTCATACTGCTAACCAAAGGAGAGAGAAATTATACGATACAGCTTGAGCACTTTTCAAAGAATACTAGGAACCAGGTGTTTTTTTGACCACAACAGGAGTGACTACTCTCCCAGTTTCATTTGAAATCTATTTCTGTCCTCTTCCTTACAGTACACGCAACTACTCTATCTCTTCATATTTAGTAATCATCTTTTCCAAACCCTGTCTCGAAATAGTCCCTTTTCATAAGCCTTTCAAGTGTCAATATTCTTGCACAGAAGTTGAAATATTACTGCCATTCTGATAAAACAACTCGATCAGTGAAGGTCAATCTTCTTCTCTAAAGGTATATGATGAAAAATGATTTTATGACATTGATTACTGGCTTTTCAAAGTAATTCAAATTTACACGTTATTACATGAAAAGAGCCTTTCTACATTACATGAAAAGAGTCATCAGTCAAAGTATGAACTCTTAATTTTTATTGCAGATTTCTTTTCCCCATGATCCATATAATGTATATACCACGTTTCAGTGAAATAGGATTCTACATAGGTGTAAGTATAAGCATCCTGTATTTAGTCTAATATAACCACCCTTTAATTATAACCAAATATAACAATTTAACATTAATATTTAATTATAACTAAATATAGGTCTAAATATAACCACCCTGTATTTAGTGTCTGCTGCAAAGTCATCAATCTCCAGGTGAGACATTGACTGGATACTACCGAGTAGTTTAACATGTGTGGTACCAAGCACTGAAGAACTGGTCCTGCAGTTCCCAGACATTGCAAGGTTGTAGTGTGGCAGCATAAATTCAGTTTTCTAGTTGGATTTACAAATACTCGATTGGATTCATGTCAGATGAATTTGAACACCAAGAAATTCACCAGAATGTTCCTCGAACCATTCCCTGAAAATTAAGTCCTTGTGACATGTGCGTTATCTTACTGGTAAATGCCATCACCCACCAGGCACACTGTTATTATGAAGGGTGCACTTCACCTGCAGTATGTTAAAGTAGCCCACAGATGTCAAGAATTGTTCTATGGAAATGATAGGTCCTAATGTGCCCCATGAAAATATCGCCTACACCATAATACCACCAGCACTGCCTTGTATCCACCTAACTGTGGACCCAGGTACCAGGGTTTCTGTGGTCCAGAGCCCATGTTCTTAAGCCCATTCCAGTGCTGTTGGTGATGACGTGACATCGGCACAGGAATGCAATTTGGCATCAGTTTCAATATACAGGGGTTGGACAAAAATATGGAAACACCTCATAAAATGAATGTTTGAACTGAAATGTTTATTCTTGCAAAAGCTGTTGGTGAAGCTGATATGTTGCTCATTAACACTACCTGTATAACACCCTCAACACATTGCAAGTGTCTTTCGTTATTGAGACAGCATTCTGTGCAGTTGTGAGTGCATTGTGTTGTAGCTAAATGAATTCAAATGTGGGCAAATTGTTAGGGCTGATATGGTGGGTGCTTCAAAAACCAAGGTAGCTGAAATGTTCGGTGTGTCTAGAGGCACAGTGTCAAAGATTTTTAACTCTTACAGAAAAAGTGGAAAAACCACAATAGCAAAATCATAGCACAGATGAAAATGTATGTTGAGTGATCATGACAGATGATCATCGAAGAGGATGGTGATGAAAAATAAGAGGACTACAGCTGCAAAAGTGACCGCTGAACTGATTGTCACACTCACAAACCCTGTCAGCACCAAAACAATAAGAATGGAGCTTCGCAAAGAGAGTATTTTTTGACAAGCAGCAATTCAAAAGCCACACTCGGAGATCAAAATGCCTGTAAGAGAAGAAAGGGGTGCCAAAGTCATAAAACCTGGAATGTAGAGCAATGGAAGACTGTCATTTGTTTGAGTGAATCTTTCTTCACATTGTTTCCAAATTCTGAGTGAGTTTACATTGACCGAATGCATTCAAGTGTATGCTAGAGACTGTTTGTTGCTGAGAGTGAAACATGGAGGTAGTTATGTCATGGTTTGGGGAGCCATTATTGTGGTATTACATGGGACCCATCATTACCATCCAAATCACATTACTGCAAAGGGATGTGTGACCGTTCTGGCTGATCACATCTATCCCTATAGTATAAAATTTGTTTCCCAATGGTGATGTCATATTCCAAGATGACAGAGTGCCTATTCAGTCAGCTCACATAGTCTAGCACTGGTTTTCTGAGCATGAGGGTGAACTTGCATGTCTACCATGGCCATCACAGTCACCAGATATTATTGAGCCTTTGGGGGTCTATATAACTACTAGATATCAATTCATAAAGAATAAATTCTTTTAATAAATCAAAATATATCCATAGCGTTAGAATAATATTAATCTCAGCGATGAATAAAGTGTGTACAAAAACTTGTAAAAAAAGAAGGATAAAGTTTTTTTTTGCAGTCATGCAGAGATGAGATTCTTATCGTGCATGTGCTAGGAGAAGAAATCACGGTGTTAAAGAAATGTGGGGGGAAGGTAAAACCCCACAAGTCTTTGTGGGCTATTTTGGAGGGAAATCTGCATGATCACTATACACAGTCATTGTCGTTAACTGAACTTGCTGATGTTTTACAGGAAGAATGATACAAGATTCCCTTGAAAAGTATACAGTACCTCTGTTTACCATCCTGAGGAGACTACAAGCTGTTTTGAATGCTGGTTTTCCTACACCATATTAGTTACAGCAATATGTTTTTACTTCAGTGTTTCCATATTTTTGCCCAGCACGTGCCATCACAGTCACCAGATATTATTGAGCCTATATTCAGCATCCATACACCATTTTCGTTAAATGCTCACACTAGCTGCATGTGAGCAGCCTACCAAATGCTCAGTTTCTAAAATTGAATCTTTCAGGTGCCGAGCCATAACCTTTATCAAAATCTGATCAATCAGCTGCTTTTCCCATTATGTCACTAAGCATTTTTACATGTGGAAAAACAGTTTTGGGGCACTTTATTTTCTCCAGCATCAGCCAAGCATATGCCATGAAATTTGTCTCTGGACAAGCTCATTGCTTTAGATAAGCGGTGGTCATAATGTAATGGTTCGTAGGTTATATGATATGGCTAAATTTTAATAATGTATGTATAAATTATATAACATTTTTTTAAATGTGAAGTATGAAGCTTCTATTATGTGTTGATTTATTCAGTGTATTAAATTGATAGTTATCATATCTCCAAAAGAGTAATAAGAAATTTCACTCTGTATGTTGCTTTATTATTATAGCTTTTGAATTACTTGTGACTAGCTTTTGAATTACTTGTGAATTAACAACACAATATTTTAAATTTTTTTAAAGCAGTTAGAAGCATAAAGTGTAAATGCTTTGTTAAAACTTGATTCTAAGATAATATTAAGAACGAAATAATATCGTAGCTTCAGTAGATACAGTGTTCATTAAAAAATGGAAGTATCATAAAAAATTTATTTAGAAACCTCAAGATTAAGTTTTGGGGAAAAGTAAGGCTACAGTCCAGTTTAAATAATAAGCGTACTTTCTGGTCAAACTGAATGTTCAAAGTTGGGGTTCAAGTAAATATTCAAAATGGTGCCTTCAGCACTGATGTATTTTTAGTATGAATCATGACCGATTTCATATATCGAACCAAAGTGTCCAGGGAGATTTCTGTGCACATTGTTTGAATCTCATGTCAAAGTATATCCAGATTATATGGTTTACTATGGTACATTTCATCTCTTACTGTGCTAAGAAAATGACTGGCATAAAGTCGGGAGCATGCAAAAAACTTGTTTGGTGCTCTGCATACTGTCCACTCTCATGGTACATTCTGATCTTGGTATATTTGCACATTCCTATGATAATGCAAAGCACCATCCTGTTGGTGATAAAGTCTGTCATTTCCACACATGGCAGTTAAAATGGAATCAACAAACAGTGTTAGGTATTTTTCTCCAGTTATGGTACATTCAAAATGTAAAAGCCTAATGAGTTTCCCTAGGATATAGTCCACGCTACATATTCATAGTAGATAAAGTCACAGCCTTCCCAACACTAATATGAAGATTATTTTCAGTCCACTGCACGTAGTTACGCCTATTGCATTACCATTAAATTTGAATTGTACTTCTACCCATTAATCCCAGTCCACATGTAACCATCTCCAAACCCATTCACAAAACTGCACCCTGTAATCTGAATCACCATCACTTGACTGTTGCACCAGCCTTGGTATGTATGCACACAATTCACCTTTCTTCATGATGCATGGCATACTGCTAGCATATACATCATTCTCGTGTGTCCCTTGCCTTGAAGAATTTTGTTACAAGCTGAAATAATCTTAGCACCACAAATGAAGATTCATCTCTTGTAGCTGTTGTCTGCCTTTCTGCACATCACACACTGTTCTATGAAACTTGAATTTGTATTGTAGACATGTAATTGTTAACCTTGAAGGTACACCAGTCCCATATTCACATCTCCACATTTGTTTCTGAACCACAGCAACATTTGTAAACTTCCAGCACCCCTTAATAACTTGCTTCTAGTCTTCAAAACTCAAAAGTGCATCTGCCATTTTGATGTTGCTGTCTTGGCAGTAACTGCATTGTGCAGCCAGATAAGATGATTTTGCCTTCACCTGTTAAGGAAATACACTTTTTTTTTTCCTCCAGAAATTCAACTTTATAGAAAGGGAAATTAATTTTCTGTGACAATTCAAATGTGTATACATTTTTTATGCACCCTGTATTTTAAAATTCTTGAGCTTGAAATCTTGATCTGTACATAAAGTCTAACTCTACTTCAGATTACATTTTTATTTTTAGCTGGTTATTATCCATAAAAAATATCCAGCTTTTTTTTTCGAGCTGTTTAATTTCTTATGTAAATGATATTGTATGAAATGCGATTGTTAAAGAATTTGTCATATAAAATCATAATGAATATTAATAAAATCAACAAAATCCACTGCATAATTTTGCATCCAGTATCTGGTATTCAAAAAGTCAAAGGCCAAAAGATAATCTTTATTGAATGCTTTCAATTGATATGCATTAATAATATGAAACTTTTTCATGTTTAAATTTAAATTGAATCAAAATTTGCTTAAATAATTTTAAATTATTTACTTTATATTATGTTATTTTACTTTGTCTAAATTTTTATGGTATTATCTCTGTGAAAGTTCACAACCATCAAACCACAAAAATTGGCGAAGATCCTGCGAATGTTGCACCTGTTGTTCCTGTGGAATTCTGAAAGAGCTAACATCTCTTAATATTCGACCTGCTTCATTTTTGCACTTTGTAAAAAGACTTTCATTGATTTCTAGTATTTTGGTAGGCCCTCTGATCTGTTTAGAATGATATAAATGCAAACTTCCAGTAGGTAGTTCTTGCAGTCCATTACTGTTTTTCTGGCCATATTCAGCTGACCACATTGTGTCCATTAATACACACTTTATTGCTGGTAAAATCCCATAACTTTGAAATTAATCTGCTGCTCTGAAAAAGACAAATCTCAAAATTTAATCCCCCCCAAATGCAAGAAAAAATACAGCACTAACAGTTCATTTATATCTTTAATCATAAAAACAAAAGGTGACATATTGAGAATGAGGCAGAGTTATATCAAAAGAACAGACCTTTTGAGTGTTTGTTATGTTACACTTATCCATAATTGCTGCTAAATCATGCTGCTCTGTATCAAGCTTTACAGCCAATGAGATAATACGTAAGTACCATTTTTGTAACTTACTTATGGTATTTTTAATTTAATTAATTTATTTATTTTGCCATTTCATTGCTTATTTGTCAATTCCTGATTTTGAACTGTATGTTTGTGCATTATAATTTTTGATAGAAAAATTAAATTTGAAAATTTTGGTATTATGCAATGATTTTATTTTTAACCGTATCTTTTTCTTGGTATTGTTTTTATCTATATTCTATTCTCAAGTGCATTATTAAAAATTAGTTTCAATATTTTCATACATGCTTTTCAGCATTTAACGAACAAGTAGGCATGTTGACCTTATATCCTTATATAGATTGAAATATAATTATTCTAATTTAAAATTAGACAAAAAGCAATCCTAGATTGGCATAGATTTTGAATAAAGCTGTTATTGATATTAAGGGTGATCTCAAAGAAGATGGTGGAATGAATGCCTGATCACCCTTGAAGTCAGCACAGTTTATTGAAAATCAATGCTAATCTCTTCCCCCCCTGAAGGCGAAGATTTAATACATTAGTGTTATTCTCTTTCAGTTAAATTCTTCTTATATTTTAATTATATATTAATAGGTTAATCCTGCTGTTCTGTCCTTCTATTATATAGGCATGTGCATTATTTATGTATGATTGTTGTTCAGTTCTGCAGAGTAATTAGCAGAAGCTGGAATACTAAAAATATGGATTATTTGTTATGAGACTTGATTACACCTGTGTACATATACGTTCATTAACATACTTACGTTATTAAGAGCAAGATTTAAAAAAAAAATTCATTAATATCTGTATGTCCGTGAAAATATAATTTACAGTAATAGTATTTAATATCAACAAACCATACATCTATTGAAATACTACTGAAAGTGGACATGTCAGATGTACTTTATATGAAGGAGGTTTGCCATTTACATTATATTAATTTTTATGCTGTTTAAGATATTTTTATTAGTCTGGTGTACATTATTACTGTAAATTATTTTTATTTTTCTATGGCTTTTAATATAAATGGTTGTAAAATTTGTGTTTTCATAATTATTATTTACTGCTTGATATTTCTGCTGTAATTAACTACATATTGTGGTTATTGCAATAAAATTTTATTGATGTAATTATGTTTTTAGACAAAAGCTCACTTTTACTTTTCATTGCTTCCATTTAGTGGGTTATGCTTTATTGTAACTTGTTTTGTATTTATTCAGATGTGCTGCTGGCTATCGAGGAACACCAGTGCAGCCAAGTGGAAGGTGTGAACCTATAGGGGGTAAGGATCTTTTTTTTTTAATAAAAAATTTTCTAATTTGCTAGTATCTAGGTATTTTCAAAATATATTCATTAATGAACCATGTATGCAAATTGCTGGTTTTGTAATATTATTATCACAAACTATTTACTTCCAGAATTGTTTAATAATAAATAGTTATCAACTTTTTTGTTATAGTATGCTATCTTGCAATTTGTTATTTTTACTAGTTTTTTGCAACTTTGAAAGATTTAAACTCATCTTTTGTATTATTTATAATAATTTGTAAACATGAAGGCAAATTATTAAAATATTTTTTTCAGCATTTTAGTAATTTAGGCAGTCCTTAATTTCATGTCTGAAATGTAAAATATTAAGCATGATATTTGATATAAGTCTTCTAATGCTTCATACATATTATAATTTGCTAATCTACTATTAGTAGCAGAAATTGTAAATTTTTAATTTACTTTAAGAAAAATACTAACCACTGAAGTTATTATATCAGAATATATAGAAATTGTTAACTGTTTCAGTTTAACATCATTGTGCTAAGAAGTTAATACATATATCTTTAAATAAATGCAGAATCAGCATAATTGCTCTTAAATAATTAAAAGATAACATTGAATGGCTGATACATGTAGCATTATTTAAGTGTAATTCCAAGTTACTACAAAATTCTAAGATAAAAATCGAGAGTCCAGATAAAAATATAGAATCAAGAGAAAATGATGTTTGGATGAAATTTTAAAAATGAAAATCTGAAATAAGTATAATATATACATTCCATGGAAATTTTCATTGAGAAAGAAAACATTTGTTCATTCTTGTAGAAATATTTTAAGATTCCCTATAAGGAAATTTAGGAGATTTTGTAAAAGAGATTTGAGTTTTCCATGGCATATAGTTTTCATGTGTCTTTTTGTGTCATCACGTCTTCTAAACTTTAGTTTGGGTTCATTTTATAGAACTTGTGAGCACAGGTACTTTTTATAATTTATCTATAAATACTAAGCACATTAACAATTACCACATGATGTAGCTCTCATAGTGAAGTAAAATTTTGCTAATATTCAAAATTTTTTGTAGGAAAAATTTAAATCAAAATATTTATTTCAGATAAGTTGGCTTTATTCAAAATTGTGTTTATTTTTCACTACCTAATCCATAAATAACAGTTATAGAAAATTTGATATGAGATATCTTTCTAACAATGTAATACTGATGTTTCACTTCAGTGTTATTAAAAAATATTGGTACATGTTCAGTGATTAATGTAAATACTTCATTTGGGATGAAAAGGAATGTACATATAATGTAGGTTACCTCGATAACTCCACTTAAAATTTTTAAATACACAATACTAATAGATGATGCTGTAAAAATTTCTGAAAATGTGTGCAAGTTTGTCATAAGAGTATCTACATGGTTAATCGTAGATATCAGTTTTGCTTAGTTGCCTATTTTTCCTTCAAATTTTGCTTAAAGCTGAATGTGCCTTTTACATTAATAATCAGAGGTGACTGTAATTGAGTTCCTGTGAATGTCCTTTTCCTGTTGTATTTTGTCCTTTTGTAATTTATAAATTTCTTTGCAGCCTTTTTTATTTAAACTTTTCTTTTAAAAAATTTTAGCCCCTTACCAGAAGCCTCTTGATGATAGGACTGAAAATTAAATACATTATGGTTTTATGCATAGTAAATGAGGATTTTTTTTTAATTTTCATTATCTGTGCTATGGTTACTAACAGAATAATTTTATATTTTTCCTCTATTTACAATGTGCTATTATGAATTTGGTATTCCAGTGGGTTCTCTTGATTAAAATTACTGGCAGCTGTTATTACAGTACCTTTATTAGAATACATGGTTGATCAAACAATTATATTTTTTTATTTTATTTCTCAAACAATGTAATTGATTATTAGCTTTTAGATATGTATTTTTAATAAGTCATTATTTTTTTCTTTTCCTTTGTTTTGTTGTCAGAGTTCATTAAAATTGTTGTGTTAATACTAATATTAAATTTAACATGTATATTAATGCACAGGTTATTATTTTAAATTCTGGTTTTCTGTTTTGATTTACATTAATCATTTTTAGGTACCTTTTTTGGTTAAAAATGACACTTAAAGTTCTCTTTAAATTTAATAAAATACACTTGAGTATACCAGACTAATTGTAATTTTTATATAACTCTTATTTCTTCCTTTGTTTTTTGCAATTTAATGTTCCACTGCAGTATTTATCCTTGTAACAACAGAGCAGAATTTCAAAGATCAATTCCATAGGCTCTCTTCTGAAGATAACAGTTGAACCCACAAATGTGGTAAAGCATGTTGGTGAGCAGGTGGTGATACATTGCCAAATCCGCAGCGATTTACCATTTCGAGTTGTCTGGCTTCATAACAACGACACAGTTCATGCTTCAAAATCAAGAGTTTTTGTCAACAGCACTGCCAAAGGGAGCACCTTAACAATTTCTAATGTTTCTAGGCAACATCAGGGATTGTACACTTGTCGGGCCATTTCGAAAAACAGAAGTATCCAGAAAGTGGCCAAGCTCACAGTTTTGGGTAAAAAACTAATGAAATAAGAGGACTGTACTTTGGCACACATAATGTGGAATTTTTGTAGATGAACTTTAGCTTCTGAGCATTGTGCTTTCTTCACTGTTTGCCTATATGTTTCAGAATGTGAAAACATTTTGGTTTGGTAAAATACCACTGTTGTGTTAGTCCAGTATCTAAAATGTATGTTGCTGTGGTTGCTTCTTTTTATAAGTGCTAGTAAAGAATTCTTATTGAATGTGGAATGTTTTCTGTTTTAAAAGTGTTTTCCTTTCGCATATTTCTGTAATATCTGTTGCAACTGTCTTTTCTATTGTTGCTTTTGTGTCATCTGGATTTTAATGAATCTTTGTGAAATTTATACTTCTTTGCTACTTGCTTAAATGGTAGTAAAAGCAGCTAATATGGTATAGAAATAGCCGGTTATAATAGTTTTACTAGGAAGTTAGTGTTATCTGTACTTATACTGTGACTTACACTTATTTGTATTGAAAGTGATAATATATTTCATTATTAATATTTTTCAATTTTATAATTATCCCCATTTTGTATAAATCTTTTGCTCAATCAGTGATAGTTCTGAATAAAGTTATTTTTATTTCCTATAGCCACTTTTAAAATTGATTTCAAGAATTTGCAATTTAAACACAGTTTTATTTAAAAGATATTGAATATTTAACACCAAAATATTATTAATTTTATTATTGTTAATTTGATGTTACATAAATTATCCCTTATATTAAGTAAGTCACTTACACTATTGTATACCTGAATTTTACTGCATTTAAAAAATAAATTCTTTGCCATATATAATAAACTGATATTTGCAAAAAACGTATATGTAAACATCTCTGAGTTCAAGATATCTTACCTTTTTCTTGACTTTGCTTTGTTACCTGTGTTTTCAAATTAACATTATTGTAGTGATAAAATTAGTTCTCTGTATTAACACCTTTTGCTTTGTGCCAAAGTTTTTTTTATACTTTGTTCATTGCATATAATATTTATATTTGTTACTTAATATATTTATAATTATTCCATGAAGTATTTATGTGTATTATTTTTAATGTTCTAATTAATAATTCTTCAGAAACTTTAATAAAATAAACTTCAAGAATTAAAAATGAATAATGAAATAATGTTATGCCTTTGTGTAAAGCAGATTTTAACAATGCTAGAAAGCCTTGTTTATATATCAAATAATTTTGCTTGTAAAAGTATATTATACAAAGCTAGTTCAGCTGCAGGTATGTGAATTTCCTATGTTCAGAGTATTTTGATAAGTAACATGTATATTAATAAAGATTTTATAAAACAGAAAAAAAAAGTCAAGTGAACATTTATGTTTTTCATTTTATTTCAAGCTATAATGGAAGGAGGCATATAAAAAAAGCAGACATTTTTAACATAAGTATTTACATATACTTGAGTTATCTCTGGGAGTTTGATAACTTCTTATTTCTAATAATAAATGTGAAAACTGACTGCATGGAAAATCCAGAGCTGTCTTTTTGTATGTATCAAATGGAAACTTATTATTTAGCAGAATCTTTTTTTTAAAAAAAAAATGTAACTTCATTGTAAATTAACCTTAATTCATGCTATTTGTTTTTCACATATGTTTCCTATGTAGAAATTCAGAAACTGGATGTGTCGTAATAGGTAACAACCAGGAAAGACAATACTACGCTTTAAAATTATTTTCGACTTTTATATAAACTGAATTTTTAAAACATTAGGCACATTTAATTAACAGTATTTCTAATAATAAATGTGAAAACTGACTGCATGGAAAATCCAGAGCTGTCTTTTTGTATGTAACAAATAGAAACTTATTATTTAGCAGAATCTTTTATTTAAAAAAAAAATGTAACATCATTGTAAATTAACCTTAATTCATGCTATTTGTTTTTCACATATGTTTCCTATGTAGAAATTCAGAAACTGGATGTGTCATAATAGGTAACAACCAGGAAAGACAATAGTATGCTTTAAAATTATTTTTGACTTTTATATAAACTGAATTTTTAAAACATTAGGCACATTTAATTAACAGTATGTAATACATTCATATGCACAGTAACTTCAGTTACTTGGTGAATGTGAGATCAATGAAATTGGAAAATTTGAGCTACGCTATCCTCTTCATTGGATGATGATGATGTAAAACATTTAGTAAGATTCACATAAGTCTCAGGAGAGTGATAAATTTTAGGGAGGTATGTGTGAGCCCTTTATTAAACTTGTCTCTAATTTATAAGTTCCTTGTTCATTTTGTGTACGTATTCCAAGAAATATGTATGTCTTAAGTGTCATAATCATTCTTTGACTAGCATTAATCTTTCTTTTTGTGCAGGATGACATTCCTAACAGTTTAAAAAAATAGCTAATGAAAAAAAGTCATAATGAAGACTATCGCTACTTTTAACACTGAGGCTGAGTGAGCTTTCATCTTGATGAACAATAATTTCATCATAGTAATCATAATAATCATGATAAGATCTTCTTTTATTATATGACATGTTTCAGATCCTTAAACAAAAAACCTTTAAAAAATTTAAACCTTATATTAAAATCCTTTCTTCCCCTTGAAAAATCATTGTTATTTTTAGAACCTCCTAGAAGATCAATTAATGTAAAATAAAAAAATAATGGATGACAGCCTCTAGAATAAGTTGTTCTGCATAATTAAATCGACTCATCATTTTCTGTAATTTATGCGATAGTTTACGATTTAAATTTTTTTATGTTTGCAGATATTTGTATGCTTTTTCTTGAAATGGAATATTTAATTACAATCTGATATTTCATAAGATAAAATGCAAGCCTTTTGTTAAAATTTTCAACTCTGAACACTGTTCAGATTTATTCAGTAAGGCTTAAATCATGCAATTATAGGATTCATTGAATGTTTATAAATCAAAAATCTTCGAAGCTCTGCACTGCTCAGATGTATTCAGTAAACTTTAAAACATATAATTATAGGATTCATCTGAGTATTTATAAATCAGTAGAATTTCATTAAAATAGTTCTTGAACACTTATGCTGATGTAGAAGCTATATTATCCTGCTGATATAAACTACCATCTCGGAGAAATTTTTAAAGAAGTGCGCATGGTCTAAAATGAGATTTGAATATGTTACATTTCCATTGCACTTTAATATACTTCTTGAAAATATATTCAGCACCATAAGATTGCTTGCACTATCTTATATAACATTTGCTGGTAGATAAATCCATAAATCTTAGTCTCTTGGATAGATATGGTGCAAGCAGCTGAAAACAGACTATATTTGACCAAGCTACACTGTGCTCGTCATCCATTTTCCATTGATGATATTCTTATTCTTGTATGAGGTTTATTATCTTCTGGGATCTACATTGGCTAATGACTGTCAAATTACAGAAATGAAATGCAGCACATGCTTTGTAAATCTACTAATTGATGGCTTAATCATTGCCAGACTTAATTTGGATATGATCTCCTAAAGTAAAACTAGGTTTCTCTTGAAATATATTTTTACTGAAATGAACTCTATGCTTTTACTGAATTGTATAATTTGACTATGTACAGTTTATCTTATGTAAATAAAAAGATGGGTTTAATTTTATATTTTAGTATTTTATTCTAATTAAAATAAACATTCGAGTATGGATATTCTTACCCATACTTGAACGTTTATCTTCTTGTTCATTTAAAATAAAACTAATTTAATTATTAAGTCAAAAAGTACATTTTTAAAACTCAATATATTAAATAAATCTTTAAATATGATATCGGTGCAAACATGTCTTGCACTCAATTATTAATGATTTTGTAATTATAAATGAACTCTGAATTTAATATATAAAATTTTTATAAGTAAAATAATTTGAAATTATGAGTGTGTTTTATGAAGCAACTGACATTTTGATTAAATAACAACATAAAAGTTTGTATACTTTATATTTAAGTAAAATCTGTGAAGTTTCTGAAGAATTATTTTCTAATTAAAAATTAATATATATGGTTTTCACTTTAAATGTACAAATATTCATACCAGCTAGGGTTTCAAGTATTATTAAAAATAACATCTGAGGAATTTCAGAAGACATAAGATATATAATATAAAATTAAAGACACCACTTATATTTTACACTTAAGAAATATCATTGTTTACTCTTATTGAACAACACATTTTTTATGACAGGCTAAATGAAAATGAATTTTATATTGTAGCAGATCATTTACTATAATGTAAATTTTTACTTAGAGGGAAGAAGGACCTTTTGATTAAATGACATCAATAATTCTTTGGTAGATTGAAATATATTATAGGAACTACTTTCTGAAGACGAGTGGTTTTGTAGCTAAGTAATACTAAAATATGAAATTATAGTTTTCATACTTTAAAATCAGTTTCCACATTTGAAGATCAGAGGTGATCAGATTCTATCTATACAGAGAGCAATTTAAGATATATATTGGTGCCACAAGCTGTGAGATGTTTTATTTTGCCATAAGTTAGGAATATATTCTGCAAATAACAACTGCCGGTTATCTCAAGATAGTTATAATAAATATTTCTAATTGTCTTTGTTTATAGTGTTACTGTTGCAGGTATAAAAATGAATGTAAGATGACCCTTATTAAAAAAAGTAAGCTTCTTGTGGTATTAATTTCAAGTCCTAAGAGAGAAGTGCGAAAATAAATACTAATTGAGAAATTGTGTCAATAATGATAAATTTTATTAACCTTTCTGGTATGGGCTACATATGTATCGCAGGCTACCACTTAATCATCACTTCAGTACAAGTTGGTAAAATCTTCATGAGTGCCTATCAAAAGCATCAGTTCTACTAAAGTGAATTTTCAATGAAACTGTTATTTCTAACAAATCTTGTGATATTTGTGAGATGTTAAAATATTCTAAGTATGTATTCTTCAAGAACTCCTCAGTTTGGTAATAATGGCAATAAAAAGTTTTGTTAATTTTGCTGTGAGCCATAAAAATAGTACTTTAAAGAGTCACATGAAATTGATAGTCACCTTTAATCTCCCTAATTATGGACGTCATTCAGTACGAAAATGTAATAATTAAGAGAAAAGTTGAGGATAGTTTTTGAATGTAATCTTGTGTAAGAACTCATGTGATGCATTTATTTCAAGACAAGCTCATTGATCCAAGCAAGAAATTAAATATCAGAAAATTGATAATATAGAATATCCTGTAAAACTTTAAGAAATCTTATAAGTTTTTGCATAAGAAAAAAGGAAATTATAATAAAAAAATCAGTATATTTCATGGAAAATTTTTTACTTCTAAGTAAAAAATTTTTAATATCCTGCAAAACTTTTAGAAATCTTATAGGATTTTGCATACGAAAAAAGGAAATTATAATAAAAAAATCAGTATATTTCATGGAAAATTTTTGACTTTCCAGACGTAAGAAATTTTTTATTAAAATGATTAATACTCGAGTTTTATGCTTTGTATATCTGTTTTTTCCCCCTTCCTTTTTCAAGTCAGTTGTGAACTTTATAAAAAAATAATAAAAGTAACAAAAATGAAAGTTATCTTGTTTAACAACATTCCTGTAAGTTTATTTATATATTTAATATTAGATTAGAGTTTCATTTGTCAAAGCAAATTTAAGAGCAAGAATAATACAGCTTTAGTGTTTTCAAAGAAGCAAATAGCACATCTCATTTTTTAAGCAGTACTTGCTATTAAGAAAAGTTTGGAAAAGAGCTGCATTTAAAAAATATTTGTCAAACAATTAATGAAAGAAAAACACAATTTAATTTTCATTCTTGAAATTATTTCCTGACTATAAGTGATCCATATACGTTTGAAGAAAAAACACTCTGCTTTATATTTAGCAATAAGGATAACAGATATTACTAATGCTTATCTAATTGGATAACTCAGATTCTTTGAAATGAAAATGCTAAGCATGATCTTAATTCTAATGTTAAAACTGATTATGATTTCGCTTTTAATATTGCCTTGAATTTATCACGTTTAACTAAAATATCAGCTTTCATTGTTCTGCTTTATTATTCATTCTAGTAAGTTATGTATGAAGCAATTTTTTAAATGCTTGTTAATTTTATAGGTGTAAGCCCAACTATCCGTGTAAGAGTTGAAGAACCAAGAACACAACGTGTTCCTGTGGGTGCTACTGTGACATTTAGATGTATTGGTGTCAGTCAAATTCATGGTGTAAGTTCTTTGTATTTTGTATAACAAAAGGCTTGCAAAATACTTGCTTTATCAAACTAATTGATGTAGATAGCCTGGAGTTACCCCTCCTCCACTCTAAGGTAATGGCATGGTTAGACAGGTTTTCCATAAAGGAAAAAATGGAAATTACCTCTTTTCGTATGTATGGTTTTTACGATATTAAGTGTATTTTACATGAAATAAGAATAAAGAATTCTGCTTTTTAAGATTTTTTTTTTTTTTTTTTTTTTTTTTTTAAAAAAAACTAGAACAGCCGAATTTCAGACTAACTGAAAACCGCCATTGGGGGTCAATTTGACCCTCATAAGAAATGTAAGTAGAAACACAGTAAATGATTGAAATAATGTTGAAATGACCACATAAAAGAGTTTTTAGAGGTTTTTACTTATTTTATACTTTAGAATTTTTTTCATGCAATTAGTGCAAATTAGCACACACTATCTTTCAATGTAAGATGACAAAAACAAAAACAAAATCTATGAAAAAAAAAAAAAAAAAAAAAAGATACAAATGAAAAAAATTACAAAAAAACATAAATTGGGAATAAACACACAATGTTTTCCAAAGTTTGTTATACATTACCGCAGGTGATACAATATGAACGCTTGACAGTGACAGCAACACATTTACCACAAATTGGTTTCTGGCATCCCTCACAGCTGACAACAGTCTTGTTTTGTCCCTTGCAACTTTGAAATGCACATTTCTTTCGTTTAAGTGTCTGTATTTGAGCAATCGGGGGCATCTGTTGCGTAGTGCACCAACTCGTAGTTCTTCCACGAGTGCAAGAATAAATTCTCGACGGGAAATAGAGGTGCCCAAGGATTCTTTGAATATAATCCAAGCATTGAGTGCAGCAATGTCAAGGACGTTGTAAAAACATGTACAGGCCATCTGCGCCACTACTTGTACTATATTTCCTCAGCATCTGATCTGCGACATCAACGCCACATTTTGTACTGTTGTAGTAAGTGACAGTGTTCGGTTTTTTCTTTATGCTGTCGTCAACAAACACATTACTGTGCATCGTGCTCAGAATCACGACATTCTTTTGCTCTTGCACCTATATATTGTGAGTGTTTTGTCTTCCATTTTTCAGTCAAAAGTGATGAATATCGTGCCGAAGAAGTGTCACGAGCAATAGGGGGTAATTCTCGCTTATTCAGACGCATCGTCCCGACAATTGTGGTTTTTTCGCAGAAAGTTCATCTGCAAGTTTCACAGAAGTAAAAAAAATGTGTCAGTTGTGACATTGAGTCCGGAGTTTAGATGTGGTTGCAGTAATTTGAGAACTACACTTTCCCCAAGTTGTAAATTAGTTGGTCGTTCTTCATCCTTGCCCAGATAAGGATAACCATTCAAAACATATTTGGATTTTACATCAGTTGCTAGCCAGAATTTGATGCCAAACGCCAAACTTGTCCGGTTTATTCGCCATGTATTGGATAAATCTACATCTTGATTTACAAGGCAACAATTGTTCATCAACGGTTATTTTTGGTCCAGAGTTATAGCATAAATAACAGTTTTCCGTTAGCTTGTACCAGATTTTAGAAGCGAGAGCAAATTTGTTAGTGGTGAGACGGTCAGCTCTGGTGCTTCGGACATCGATTCTGAGATACCACATTATTTCACGGAACCGATTGCGTGACATTGTTTCTTTGAACACAGGTGGTCCCCAATTCTTGTTCCGCAAAACATATAAAAATATGTCGTTTTTCTTATGAGGGTCAAAATTACCCCAGTTGGCTGTTTTAGGTATATCTGCGATTATTTATTTAAATAATTAACGTAGAAATATGAAAAATTGGCATAGTATACTTGGAAACATTTTAGAAAAAGTAAAAAAATATCAGCTTCGAAGCTCAGCTGCATGTTAAAAAAAAACGCGGAAAATTGGAAAAAAAGGTAAAAATGACCCCAACAGCGCTTCTAGTGTTAAATTATGTTGAAAAATAATAATACACACCTGTAACTATAGAAGTACAGCTTTCTTTTTTTTTAATTATTTTTTAACTTATATGTGTAACTTCTTGTGTAGTTTGTTAACTTAATAACTTCTGTACTTTAAAAGCAGACTCAGCTAATGAGTGTACCTCAAGAATTCAAAATTTTCATTATTACATTTTTAAACAGTTCACATGACATTCAGCTAGCACAGTAACACATGCATCACAACAACGGAATCGCATAGCATGAGCACCGTTAAAGTTATAGTTTTTTTTTTTCCCCACTGTTAGTCAGGCTGCGAGACACAAATGATACAGGCTTACCCTTTTGAATTAGACACAATCCTAGGCCATCTTTCGAACTATCACACTATATAATTATATCCTCATTACCACTGAAAACTTTTAAAATTGGAGCTTTGGTTAGCAGTTGTTTGATGTTGTTAAATGACTCCTCCTGAGTCTCTTCCCAGTTAAATTCTACCTTTTCTTGAATGATTTCTCTTAAAGGAGCAGTAACTTTAGATACATTAGGTATGAATTTCGACAGAAAATTTAACATTCCTAACAATATGAACATGTGATATATTAAATAAAATGCAGAATAAAATTAGTAGTATATATGATAAATAAAATGCAGAATGGAATTAGTAGTATTGTAATTTGTGTGCATTAATATTTAAAAAATATTATAGCTTATAAAAATGTGAATAAAAAACTAGTAGTAATTAATCTCTCAGTATCTCATAATTAATACAGGTTTCAAGGATTCTCTGATCTGGAAACCTTGAAATATTATCAACTTAACTACAGTTCATTCAATATCATAATTCATTTGCTTTTTTAGAAATCTTTTAGTACAAAGAAAAATTTTACTTAATCCATGAATGAATGTCCTGAATGTCATTTCCTGAACAGAGATTTATTTCACAGTCTGCTATTATTGTATGCCAAATACTGTTGTAACTTATCGTTATAAAGCATATTATATATATATATGTATTACTACTATTATTATTACTTCTATTATATTTAGTACTATTATTTACTACTACACATACTATTATTGTATGCCAAACACTGTTGTAACTGAATATTATAAAGCATAGTATATATATCCATAGTAATAGGCATATATATATAATAATAATAGGCTAAAAATAAAAAAAAAAGTCCTGCGCTATAGCTGATTACCAAGTTAACATTACTAGCATACGACGCAATCAGATTACTTCCTCTTCAATATAGGATAACTACGCATCGACACTGCTCCGTCTTTTTTCCTTTGCTCTTATTATGACAATTAAGCCGGTAAGGATAGTTTCCTGCAGCCTGAAACCTCAATGGAAAATTTAATTCAGCTCTTCAAATCATCGTTTTGTGATAAATCCAAGATAATGTGAAAGAAGTGAATCATCAAGTTTGTTTTTTCAGTGTTTAAAAAATAACAGATTATTCTTCTGTGGTGCAAGTGCTTCAAAAAAAAATAATAATAATAATAATAATCACGCGTAGTGTTTACAGATTGAAAGTGATCTCTCGATAAATTGAGAAGTTCGAATGCCTAGTGAAAAGGAAATCATCAGTGAATTACCGTTTAGGAATTAAGCATTACAGCAGGTTCAAGGTTGATCTGAGTTAGTGTTTGCAAGTATGTGCGACAGAAAATTATTTGCACTTCCGCTTTTTCAACAGCTCAAAAATTATTACATTCGTGTGAATCTAGCTCAGGAACTAAATAATTTAATGTGCTGCAGATTCTATAGTTTTCATTTCAACTTTGGTTAAAATTTTCTGCAATTTGTTTTGAGAAAATCTGAAATTCTTGTTCATTAATTTTTCTAATTTTTCATAATTATGTGTGAGCAAATTAAGTAACTAATTTTAAGCTATTTAAATTATTCATAGGGAAGGATATTAAGATAAGTTTTTATGTTTATCCTAAGTTTTTTTATGTTTTTGAAATTTTGTTGAGAATTTTGAATACTAATTTTATAGTTATTCTAAAAATGAAGTAGGTGTAAAAAATAAGTGAAATTATTACAGATACGTAATATGAAATTATGGTAAATGCATGTTAAATTTATGGGTGATTGTATGTTAAGTATAGTGTATGTCGAGGGAGTATTGGTTCCTTCAACAGAGGCCTGTTATTACCTCTGTACAGTTGTTCCTTTTACCCTCTTCATGCAAGATAATGTTGGAGGCTCTCATTTTATGAATGCTGTAAATTTTTTATATTATTATTATATATTTTTTTATTATGGAATGTATTAGTGCAGTTTCTCAAAAGCCAGTTACCTTAATGCAAGGAACGGAGGCCTTTTCAAGTAACTGTCTAGGCACCCTGGGCCACCAGTGCAGAGAATACACTGGTTAAGCTCAAGAGGACAGTCCTATTGATGGATATGTTTGTTTAGAAGTATTGCGAGGCCTTCCAGTTTGGTAAAATCGGGAATTGCAAATGAAAGATTGATATGACGGTGAAACCATAATTTCTGAAAATGTTAATCCTATTATATTTATGATGTTAAATTATAATTTATCAGTATGGAAATGAGTATCATAAATATTTATGTGCATTACATTTAATTATAAGAAATGATTATGTAAACGTTTTTGTGATATTCTGTAATAAAAGAACCTTCCCTGAAGAAGTATGATTATGTGAACTCTCAAACAAAAAGACTTTGGACTGAAATGTTGAAAAAATTCAATAGGACTCTAAAAATTAAGAAATCTATTTAAAAAAAAAAAAAAAATTGATATTTATAAATAATACTTTACAGGATCAAAATTTTATTATTATTTATTATTTTTTTTAAATTTGCTTGTGCTTTAACTCTTTTTCTTTAAAAAGGCTTCTCTGTCGCTACGCCTTTTTCTTTTTTGAAGGGGGGAATATGTAAGATAACAATGTATGAATCAAAATTATAGATTAAACTATAAAACATTAATTCTTCCTCTCTATTCTAAAATCGTAATAACTTCTTTGCATTGCGTCATTTCTAGATCACTCTATGATCGGCGCAGCTCTGATGACGTAATCATTGGGAACTGAAACTGTCCTTGTAAACCAAAACTTTTCTCCTCGCGTGCCCCCATCTTGCATAACTACGCACTTCAGCTTTTGCTCGCTACTGTGCTAAGATGTAATTTCGCTGGCTTGCTTTCTATCTCAACAATATCAAAAATGTAAATCTTCTGTGGAAAGGCACGACTAGAGTGCCAAGTGATTGTGGCCACAAATATCAATTGGAAATAAAAATAGAATTAAAACCGCCTCGACTGCCAAGTTCTTTAAATACTACGCAATCAAAAATCTTCTCCAATATGGGTCTAATCACGCAATGACAGTGTTCCGTCTTTTTCTTGTGATTTTATTATTACATATATATATGTATTACTACTATTATTATTACTTCTATTATATTTAGTACTATTATTTTACTACTACGCATACTATTATTGTATGCCAAACACTGTTGTAACTGAATATTATAAAGCATAGTATATATATCCATAGTAATAGGCATATATATATAATAATAATAGGCTAAAAATAAAAAAAAAACAATTAAAAAAAAAAGTCCTGCGCTATAGCTGCTAGATTGACGAAAATATCAAAGCAAGACAATTCCTAAACAATATTAATAATTGCATCTGTGTATAAGAGGTTTTACACAATATCAAAACAAATTTAAATAAGATTTCGTATTAGAACAAACTTGAAAAATAATAGTGTGAAAAGAAAAATATAGAAATTTAAAAATTAATCTCCTTATTAATCTAATTCTGAAACTCCAATTCAGAACTCATCAGGGGAAAATTAATTAAAGGCTTCACCAAAGTCGATTAATATGTTTAGAAAACATGTTTCGTTCTCCTGATTCATTTGAGATCAAAAACCCAAAAAAGTTCAATTAAATTTTCCTTTAAGACATTAGAATTCATATAAAACCGAAAAATCGAATCTAGTATGTACCATAATTTTCCCTGCTTGTTTTCGAAACACTTGGAAAAAGGCATAAAATATAACATTGTGCCAAATCGACTACTCAAAAAAATAAATAAAATTTTACATTATGCAAATTAAGAGCAAAACAAGTATATTTTAAACCAAATTGTCATTTAAACAACACACAAAAATTGGGTGGTCCTCAATTTAAAAACCTATTTGAAATTAAAATTTAATTTTTAAAAAAAGTAAACGAACCAAATTCTTAAGATGACCTTCTTAACATAAACTAACTGAATTCTGAAGACAAGTTCTAAGCATCTAAAGTTAATATTAAATTGGAATCAAAGCAAGGCAATTTATCAATACTATTAATAATTGCAACCGTGTATAAGAGGTATTACACAAATCAAAACAAATTAAACTAAGGACTTGTATTAGAACAAATTTGAAAAATAATAATGCGAAAAGGAAAATATACAAATTTAAAAATTAATCTCTTTTTACTGAAACTCCAGTTCAGAACCCATCTGGGGAAAATGAATTAAAGCTTCACGAAAGTCGATTAATATCTTTCAAAAACATGTTTCATTCTTCTGGTTCATTTGAGATCAAGCACCGAAAAAGGTTCAATTAAATTTTAAATTTTCATTTTTGGCATTAGAATTCATATGTGAGCATTCAGACGTAAAAATGCAGAAATACTGATTGTATAGATACTTGATACATAGAATGTAGAATTCATAATGAATGAGAAACTTGGCAGTCGAGGTGGTTTTAATTCCATTTTCATTTAAATTTACATTTGAGGCCACAATTCACTTGGCACTGTAATCATGCCTATTTTCTGAACATTTTTTAATACTATTGCAACAGGAAAAGAACACAGCACAATAAAATGGCATCCATTCAGCAACGCAGATACAAGTGAAGTAAGCATTTATCCAGTATGGCAGTTCACCAAAGAGGAAGGTTTTGGTTTATGTTAGAAAGGTTTCAGTCCTCAGAGTTTAAGTTCTGAAATAACTACGTCATCAGCGTTATGCAAGCTTTGTAGCATATATCAATCCAGAAATGATGCTGTATAGAAATATTATTATTATTTTTAGAACAAAGAGGAAATAATCAAATTTAAAAAGAGCAATGAAAAGGCTATTACTAAGTTAAATTATAAAGAGGATTTACATATTTTTTATCTTGCATATATATATTTTTAGAGAATAAAGCAATGAAAAAAAAGTGTAGCAAAAAAAAAAAAAAAAAAAAAAAAAAAACTCAACTAGTTTTTGAAGTCACTGATTCAATGTTACTTATTATTTCTGTTAAGAGCATTTTCAGTGAAATATTGTTTTTTAACTGCATAAGAGTTTCTTTTCCTTATGTAAATTTTGATAGAAACTCTCACTATTTGTGTAATTTTTTCAATATTTAATAATTTGTTATGAAAGTTCTTATTTGCTGTATTCTTCAAAATATTTTTGCTTAATTTTTCAGGTAACTTATACATTAGTTTGGACAAAAGAAGGAGCTGCAATGCCCGCACAAGCTACTGAGGCTAGTGGTGTCTTAGCTATACCTAATGTTAGACCTGAAGATACTGGAACTTATATTTGTACTGGGTCTGACCTTTCTAGTGTTGCACAGGACAGAGCAACCCTATTAGTTGAAGGTCAGATTTTTAACATTAACTGATTTCTCTGAAATATGTACCATGATTTTTTATTCCTGATGTAATTAATTTTGCTTTTAGTTTTTTAGATCTTAAATTTACAAACCTTTTGAGTAATTTAGTAATAGTTGTTTTAGTTGGCATTATTTGTAATTAGGACTATGTTTCTTCATAATACTATTCTTCGTTAGATGTGTGTAGCCCCACTCCCATTTTATGTATTGATTTTTAAATTCCATGGAAGCATAAATTTCTACCAGTTAGGCTTATGCATAATTTTACTTTGTCTTCCTGAAAATGTAGCTGTTAAGAACTTCAGAGATAATTGCTATACCCCAGAGAAGATACCAATCGCTGAGTAAAATAAATAAAAAAAAAAAAAAAAAAAAAAAAAAAAAAAAAATTCAAATAAAATTATATTTTCTATTAACCCCTTAACTCAATGGAATGCTTTCTTTGCTCATCCATAAAATTTGATCTTTGCAATAATTGTAGATGAAAAATGACTTATCAGAGACACAGGGCTGTCTTAATAGTTGAAGTTTCAATCACTTTCTAAGGGAAAATCTATTCAATACTTTATCATGGCAAAACTCTACTTTGAGGCAACAGACTACCTCAACATCATTTGTTGGAATAGTCACAGAAAATATTACAGGTGAGGACATCAGAAATCTATTAAAGATTGGTACTATGCTGCAACTGGATTTCCAAAGCTTCCCGTTTCAGCCCTAAGCTGTAGAATAGTGCATCAAATTGCACTTGATCAAACTTGTGATGGAAACATCTAAAACGGTGTGTAGGGCTAACACAAGAGACAGTTTGATTAGGACAACCCTGCTATCAAGATATATTATGCCAGCATTTTCCCAAAGAACTAACTTGAAAGTGCACTCTTTCGGATAAAAAATTTTAAATGACAAATATATTCACATTTGTTTACTAAAACCAAAAAGTAAAATTAACAAAAGTTACAAAATATTGCTATTTTTACAAAAAAAGAAAAAAAAAGTGTTTTTTAGGCTTTTTGCACAAACAATAAATAATCTGAAATACTGATATCTAATATACCTTGCTGCATTTGAAAGATGTCGTCAATTTGTCAGTCCCTACATCAGTATTTCTGCAACAGAAAAATACTCTAGATGTTGTACTTTACTAGAAAAAATAGTACTAGAAAATGCTGTAGATGTTAAAATTAGATTTTAAAAAATGAATTTTTCTACTAGATTTGTGCATGATGAAATAGACTATCATGTTCATATGTACACCCAATTTAATTTTTCTTAACTTTTTTGGTATACCTTGTCTTCTAAACTACTGCAATTTCCTGAAATGCTTTCCTGTGAAGTTTTGAAACAAAATTAACATAAATAAAGTTGCAAAATCAAAAGCCAAATTACTCAAGTCACCTGTATTTATCCATATTTCTATTAGCTATAGAAAAGATGCAAATTCATGTTTTTGTTATTGATGGCCATAAAATTATCATTTAAGTTTGGATTGCAGGTGATTGTTGCTTTTATGACTGAATTATTAAGCAACTAGCATTTATAAGCATACTCTGTTTTAGAATGCAGATATGACCATAATGCTGAGGTTATGTTGCACTGAAGTTTATTGTTGCACATTATAGCTATATTTTATAGACTTTAAGATTATCTTTTTATAGTTAGTAGCTTTTTTTGTCTTGGGCATGAGTTATAAAATGTGAAGGAGTTAAACATAGCCGTTAAGAGCTGAAAATAAAATTATCATTAAAAATAGTTGCTACAGACTCTTGACTTGAAAAAAATGATGGAAAAGTCTAAAATAGCTATTTAAAAAAATAATTTTAAGTTTATTACATGCAAAGAATACAAATAGCACTCTAAATTTTAATTTTATGTTTAAAGCTATAGAAATAAATTCATTTGTTGTCTTTTCAGCCAATAATTAATTATTTTAAAAATTTGGTGAGAGTACTAGAATCTGATCATTATTCTCTTTCCTACATTTTTCTTTTTAATATTTGTTTTTGATCTTCTTTACAACATGTTTTGCAAGGTTATCATATTGTAGTTTTACCCTTTTGGGTAATTTTATGTCAATTTTAGTATGATTCAGGATGTAAAAACTTTAAAAATTTTCTGATGTAAAAAACTTTAAATTTTTTCCCTGATTTAGTATTTATTTATTTAATTTGGCATCCGTGAGAGAGGTTTTTTTTTTATATTATGTATTTTCATCTCTTTTACGTGGTACCCAATTTTGTGTATTGTATTCTGAAGAGCTTATATTTTGTTTTCATTTTAATATAACTTAGTAATAAGCTTAACTTATTTAAAAATTTTCAGACAACTAAATGCTTATATGAAATTATCATAAATAGTACACCCAGACTGTCTAGATTATGATGCCTTTGGTGAAGAAGACATAGTAAAGTGTCTTTCAGTGATCAGTGATTTTTTAGTCTAATCTAAGTGTTGCTCTTATGTCTTGCATTTAACTTTCATATGCAGAGTGTTTTGCAGTAATAGCTTATTAAGCACAAATCAAACTGCAGTAATAGCTTAATTTGATTTGTGATGCATTATTTGCTTTAATTTTGCTATTATTTGATGCAAATATGTCATTTGAGATAATTTCCACATTTTTTTGTTCCTTCTTAATTTAATTTTATTGGAAATCTTTCTTGTTGAGAGAAGATATGCAGTCAAAAGTCTTTAATCCGGACTCGTCGGGACTTCAGCGATTCCGGATTATAGATCATCAGTTTAAATCTGGTAAGATGCAAGAAATTATAAAATAAAAATATGAAACATTTGTAAAAATAAAGAGCAATATGATCTAAAAGTTCAAATTACAAAAAAAAAAAGTTAATATTTATTTGTTACTTTATTAACATTTCAATGTGCCATGCGTAAAGCATACATTACACATACTCAAATTAGAAAATTGCAACCAGAAAACTATTCATGTGTATTATGAATATAATGACGAGGATTTTTAAATAATCAAAGACCGAGTACATCGAGATAACATTTATAAGAATTATAAGCGATATAAATAAAAAACATTGCCCTGAAGATAAGGATAGTGCTGACAGATTCAATTCCAGTTCATTCCCCCTCCCCCCCCTCAGAGCAGCGTGAAATGGAAGCATTTCGGAATGGTTAGAGAACAAAGGATATGGCCTTTATCCATTTTTTGCATCAATCCACATTTTGTTGATGGACATCAAAACATGCTTTCCTTTGTATTTCAGCTCGGAAATTCTTATTTGACATAATCGAAATTTCAACTTACTTTTATAAATTGCTCTAACAGTCTGCAAAAAATAATAAGCGGATCCAATTCAAAGATTAAGGAACACGCAATCTGCAACTTAGTGAATTGCTATTTTAGCTTAGCTTATACCGCCGTACATTAAACGCGCGGCATAAACGAATTTTGCGCAAGCATACAACTATGGACTGCGTAAGTATTACGCAAATGGTCAAGCATTTACATTGACGCATGCGCAGAAGTTTTCTTTGAGGTCCGCATTATAGATCATTCCGGATATGGGTGTCCGATTAACGACTTTGACTGTATTACACTAAATAAATTTATTACCTAAATGTTTTCAATGGCATGCAAAAACACATTGTAATATACAAGATTATATGCATTTAGAAAAGTTTTTGATTGAAAATGTTTAAATAAAAGGACTTTTCTTAATATACATTATTAATTATTTCTTGGTATGTAATCATATCTTGGTTCAAGAGTTATCTAAAATTAAAACAATTTTATATAGATTGAAAATAAGATTTGAATAAAAGGACCTTTTTTAATATACTTTATATGATTGCTTTTCTCTGATATGTTAATCATTATCTTGATTTCAGAGATTCTTATCTAAAATTAAATTCTTAAGCAGTGGTATTGTGTTTCATTTTTCTTTCCATAATGCTTCCAGTATTTTAAGTTTGCATTTAGAAAAAAATGTTTCTTTGTCATTCCAAACCACAGTAGCGACAGATGAAAACATCCAGGGACTTGAATGCTCTAACAGTCAAACAAAACAACTTATCATTCTTGCCATTTTTTCAAAAAAATATTTATTTAGTTGGTTATTTTTTAAATATTAATTAATTTTTGTATATTTTTATATAATCGTTTTATTGTGATAGAGACGTTTTGAATAAGAGCTTTGGGAATGAAAAGTCAAATTTTCTTTTATAGAAATTAAATTTCTTCTTAAAATATATGCATTAAAATCTTTGAAAATATAAGAATTTTATTTTAGCATTTTAATCGTTTAGTATTACATTGTATGAAAAATTAATTATAAGTCCTTAATTGAAATATTTTGTTAAATTCTGTAAATAAGTTTTAGTTATTTTTTTTTTCTTTTTTTATAATAAATCATTTTTCTTATCGCAGTTATTTAGATCAATTCATGCTGTATCGGTTGCCTCAGTGTATTTTTATTTGCTATTAGCGGAATATTAATTCTAAAACATGCAATGTATTTAGACACATTTTAGACAAAAGAGCCTTTTTTAGCACTTTTAAAATTTAAATTTTAATTGACTGTTGACACATTGATATTTAATGTCTTTTTAATTCTTTGAATTGTTAAATTTTCTTCCAAAACTGGGAACACCACTGGAAATAGTTTAAAAAGACCATGTCTCCTTTAAACTTTCTTTTGTAGCTCTTTGTCCTAGTGTAAAAGAGAGTTTTAATACTTTTATCTGTTTTGTGAATAATGTGACTTATTATCAATACCAATATAATTATTTACAAGACATTTTTAATGACTAGCTAAGAATGTTCCTATTTGGAAATGAAAATTACAATATTATCTAAAACTTGTTACATACTAAATTTAGGTTATAAGTGATAAGTTCTTGTAAATAAATATTTTTAAATAGTGTATATTTTTTTCAGGAAAATGGTTCTAAAATAGATAAATAGCCTCTAGATATATACTTTTATGCAATCATTTCCTGAAAATTAATGTTTATAAAAATGTAATATGTTTGGCTGAACAACAACTCTTTGAAATTGCTAGTCTTTCCAAATCCTTACTGTACCCTTTGCGGTAACGACATCATTAGGAATGGCTACCATATTTCTTACTGCAAAGCTCTTCATGGAGCTACCTTGGTCAAATGGTACTGGAAGGCAAGAATTTGAATGAGCCAAGAGTTTCTTTTTTTGTATTTCGTTCTTTGTTTGTATTTTATTTGTTACTAATGCAGTAGTTCAACAATTACAATAATTCTCTACCATTGGAAATTGAAAAAATATCTGTAAGGCTGAAGTAACCATTCCCTGGATTAAATTTTTAAATTATAGGTTTTGTTTTTCTAAATCAAAAAGTAAAACTTAAAACTGTGTAATTTAACTTTAGGAACAGGTCATCCTACTCCACCCAGAGTAACCATCGAACCTCATTACCAAGAAGTAAAAGTTGGTGATCCTGTTGAATTCCGGTGTATTGCAGAAGGCTTCCCAGAACCTCAGCTTCGATGGACTGGTGGCCGGAATAACCAGATCAACCCTCAGGCTACTTTTGCTGGCGGCTTTTTCCGCATCCCATCTGCACGAAAAAGTGATGAGGCAGAATATTTCTGTTCTGCTACAAATTCTGCTGGATCTGAATCAATGCGAACTATTCTCTTAGTTCGAGGAGGTTAGTTGTAGTTGAATGATACTAGCACATGTGTTGTGAAACTTTCTCAAACTAACCTTTTATATTCTTCTTTTTCCGTGCATTGCCCCTTTAACTTCTCTATCCTTTTTTAAACCTTATTATATTTACTATTCTACTGGAATTACTGTCCTGTTATATAATCAGCTATATAGCAAAGTGGGATTTAATGTTCTTTTAAAAGCTATTTTATTTTATACTTAAGCTAATACTCACAGTTTAACAATACACATGCCTGAACAGGGCATCAAAATACTGAGTAGTAGCAGAAGTAATTCTTAACACCCTTCTCAATTTTAAATAGTATTAAACATTAAAATTGCATTATACGTCAAATTCCAAAAGTCAAGCTTTTTGGCATTGTTTATAAATTTTATGAAGGATGCAGCTTTAATCAGAATCTCCAAAATATTTTCTGAAGTTGGTACACTGCTAAAAAAAAAAAAAAAAAAAAAAAAAAAAAAAAAAAA